AAATATTTACAAATTAGTGAAATATGTAAAAATATGTAATTATACCATAATATGTAAAAATATGTAAAATAAAAGTAGCATCATATTAATAGGAATGATTTAAATCATGAACATTTCTTATCAAATTTTAAATATCTCGTTTTAATAAAAATATGTATTTACATATAAATCCATTCCCTAATTATGAATAATGAAATGTTACATACTGAAATAAAATGATAAAAATAATAGATAATGTAAAATAAATTGAAAAAAGTAAAGTTTTAAATAATAATAATGTTTAAAATAATTTTTCTACGTTTTTTTTTTTTTAAATTTTTTCCATGGTAGGAATTTCCAGTTTTTTGTAATTATAAAACAAGATTTTTATGGATTTTATAATCATTGTAATTTCTTATTGATGATTCAATTATAGATTTATCTTTTTTGGCCATAGGATTATGAACATTGTTTTTAATAGAATTTATTATTTTTAAAGTTTGTGCCTGTGTTTGTTTTAAAACTGAAATCACTGCGTGTATTGGAGGATGGGAGTTATAAAATTGACCATTATACGTTTTATGAAAGCTCTCTGGCCCTTTGGTAGTTCTAAAAAATAATTATATAAACTTAGAAATTTTGATTTTTTTTTTTTAAGTACAATTTTAAGAAAAACAAAAAAAATTAAATTTTAAAGTTAAATTCTTTAAAAACAGACCTTGGATTATCTGAGGGTTCTTGTGCCCATAGATACGGTGGAAATAAAGCATCAGTCCAATATATGTCGATAATGAATTATTTGTAAATACATTAACTTCTTCAAGGCTGGGACATTCAGCTATTAATACTAAAAACGCATCTTCAATTTTGTCACTGGGTAAAAATTGGTAAGCCGAAAAATAATTTTAGCCATTGACTTAATTCATTGTTAATATCCTTGTATGCATTTCTCAAATTCAAATCTCCATTTATCTGTAAATATTTTATTCAATTAAATCAATGCAACTTTTGTCTGTACAGACCCATTTGATGTAACCATTTTTACGTTTTCTTACGAAACCGTATTTAAAATTACGTAAGAGAGCTAACTCCCTTCTTCTTTCAGACATTATTTGAATTTGTTCCATAATTTATCGAATAAAACGAAACGAACACGACACATGACTAACGAAAATGACGAATAATACTGTACGACTATTGGAATTGATCTGTTTTCCATCAAATTAATATACATATACCTACTATAGATAAATAGTATATTAGTAATCCACCTATCTTATCGTCCGGCGTAATAGCAGAAAACCATTTATATAAATATAATTGACAGTTCAATGAATCTAGCAACGCCGCACGAAAAACGGCAAGTAAAAACGTTCGCAATGGTATAGTACCCATTTTCGATAACTACAATTCATCAAATATGGTATACTGTGATAACGATTGCAATGAACGACTACCTGGATGATGGTGCGTAAAGAAGTGGTATCCGCATTGACGCCACACACATATTAATAATCATTTACAACACATAGACCTTGGGTGGCGACGATGTGATTAGAAATTGCCTAAATGTTGCTCCTTAAATAAATGCTATAGCGAGGCCCCATAATAAGTATGCTATATGGAACGTGTAATCTAATTGTAATACATATGACAATAACTATCACCCATCGTGTATAAATTTAAAATGTTTAGCCAACTTTAATTACGTAAAATATTCCTGGAAGTGTGAAAATTGTACAACTAAATTAAAGAATGTTTCAGCAGGAAAATAGTTAGAAACTGATCTAAACAACGCATATAGTAAAAAGTACGATCTTGAATCTGTTATGTTGGATTTTAATAAATGTTTCATAATATTGAATTACTTTCAAATAATATGAAATTGATTGAAAATTCTATAAGTTTCTGCTCAGATTAAATTGATGAATTTAATGTTAAATTAAAATCAGCAATAAAGAAGATTTATGACATAGAAAACAAAATACTAAACTATTAACACAAATGTAATAAATTAGAAAAATAAGTAATATTCTTTAAATTATGTATTTAATAAGTACGTACTAATAATTTTATTGTTATTTTTATTTTCATTATATAGTTGAATAAATTATAACTCTTATCTCTTACACAAGTCTTGCTTTTAAAAACATATCATTTTTCATATTTGGAGATACTTTGTATGATTACATTTGAAAGTAATAAAAATTCTACTAATACTAAAAATTTGTTAAAAAATAATACATTCCTTGTCTAACTGAAAATGTAATACCAAACAATTGTAATTACAATATGAGTACAATTTATTTTCTTTATTTTAGAAATATAACTACATTTGGTATATTCAGAATTAAACATAAAGATGTAGAATTACAATAGTTTTTGACATTAATTTTCCTTACTTATTAATGAATAATAATTATAATACTTGAGTGGAAAAAAAAAACTGTTACAAATGTCTTCTGTATGCTATATTTGAATTTTAAACATGTATAAAAAGGTTATTAAATATCATTAAAAAGTAAAAATGTATACTTATTCTGTAAAAAATCATAATTTAAAAAAAATAATAGTTAAGTTAATAAAACCTAATTATAACTCTGGTAATGTACAAATTTCTTCACTAATATCAACTCCATTTGATGCAATTTTTAAACTAACATTTTGAAACCCAAGTGGATCTTCTTCATCAAACAGCTAATTTAAATTAAAAAAAATATATTAATAATGTCACAAAATTATTGTTCTGATAAACTACAAAACATTAATAACAGTTTTCAAAATATAATTTTTTAGTAACACTCTCAAAGGGTAATATGATGGAAAAGAAATAATAATATATAAATATACAAATACTATTTCAGCATGCATATAATCAAGGATTACCAACAATTACAGGAAATTAAAAATAAATTTAACTACGTAAAATAAATTAAGTGTACCTAATTAGATTAATTAAGGTTATTAGTATTGAGTATCCCATGTATGTAACAATCAATGTATTAAAAAATATTATATACCTAAATGGAGTATTGTTAATACAAGGAAAATATTTTTGGTTTAATTGAGATTTTTTATATCAACATAATTTTTATGAAAACAGTAATAATACTATCATGTGAGTGTAACATAAAAAATTGTTATACTCAGTAAATTGTAGATCCACAGTTAGTTCTAACTTCTTATACAATTGTGATTCAATTTACAAAATGTTAAAAAATTAAATTCTTCACATCTAAGTTTAGATGACAAATGTCAAGAAAATTAATATATAAAAAAAAATTATGTGAATGCAGTATAAAATAAATCAAAAATTAACAATTAAGTTAGCGGTGCTTCAATTTAATTACACTATTAAAATAATTTTTGTAAGAATTACACAAAAAAAATATATTCATTAATTAAAAAAAAATTACTTACTGCAATTAATGGAACAGATAATTGAATTAACTGATTGAAATAATCAAAAGATTTATCAATTTTACTTATAGACAAAGTACCATTTAATCCAATTTTGAATACTGATTGTGGTAACTAGAAAAATAAGATGAGTAAATCATTTTTTCTCTCTAAATTTAAGGTACACAATTTAAAAAATTTAAAATAATTTTAATACCACATACACATACATAAACAAAAACATATACACACAGCCATGCGCAAAAGTATTTCAGAGGATGGTCTTATATTTTTTGACCCTAACTTAAAAAAAACGTGTAATAATATTAAATAAATTATGATGTATAAATAATTGAATAAACATAACTTTAATTTTTTAGTTAATATTGAAATACATTAGTTCTAATGAATATGTTTTTTTTTAAATTTTGTATATTTTTCTCAGATAGTTTCAATTATTTGTTTTGTCCTTTCATAGTCAATTATAGTTGTTATATTATTATAATAAGTTTTAGTATGAAATTTAAGAAAATGTTTTTTTATTTTTTCTATTACGAAACATTATTTATTTTTTACCAAATATTTTAGAATTAATGACATTTAATTTGAGCAACATTAGTTAAAATACGAGTCCTTTACCCTTAGACTTAAAGTGTAGGGTCTCATTTATAACACTTCGAAGGTGCCTAAGCACACCCAGTACTCCTGGATGCATAGACACACATACACATACATTAATTTTTCTTTGCATATTATGGAATGTTATAATTAAGTATTCTAAATATTCATACATGTCTAAATAAATAAGGCAACACAAAAATATTGTTTGTGGAAATACACTCTTTACAGCCATAATCAATAAAATATACTGAATAAGTTATTTCATCAATTTTTTTAATAACAGATGCACGTGCAAATCTTTTCTTTGATGAGGAATAAACGGCAACTCTTTCATTCATTCTTGGAGATTTTCTGTTGTATACACCTATTCACATAAATACAAAACAATGTGTACATGTCTTTTATAAAGTGTATTATAATTATTTATTATTAATATTTTTTCTATAAAAGTTCTATGGGGCTATAAATATATTAACAAATTAGATGACAAAATATGATTCAACAGACAATAAAGCTGTATTCAAATGAGTATTATAAATTAGTAATACAGAAAATAAATGAATTACATACTTTTATTATTTTCATAAAACTGATGGACGTCATTAGTTATCTGATTATAATACTCTTGTAGTTCAGATGTATTTATACGAACAAATATTTGATTCACTGATTCAAAATAAGTAATAATTACTATTGTACCATTTCTAAACACATCATTATAATTCAAATAATCACTTATTTTTGAATTAACTTCTAAAAAATCAAAATAAATATTCTGTTTAGAAAAATGTCATTAAAAATAATTATTATTATACCTTCGTTATCTAACTGAAAATTTGAAATTTTTTGTTTTAAAAATTCTTTTGCTTCGATGTAAATATTCATGTTATTTAATTTATTTTTTAAGACAACATTATTCAACCCATTAGGATTACATTCTTCAAATTCCTAATATATTAATGTAAAAACAATTATAAGTAAACTGAAAAAAGTAAATATAAGAAAATGTTAATAATTATAAACTACTATTATCAATGGTTGTAAATACAATTCGTCAAAATAGCTTTTTAAATACTTCAATTGCATTGTATTATTAAATGGGAGATTCTTTAATCCCACTTTATGTGCTAAATAAGGAACCTAAACAAATATTTTATTTAAGTAACACAAATATATTATAAGTAAATACAAAACAACTTACACTTTGAAATTCTTCCAATAAATAAAAAATATGATTAGATTTTACGTACTCTTTTAAACCAATATCAATAAAAAAGCAAAGATACAAATGACCAAGTCTATGTTTAAAAACATCATTTAATATTACAGCTCTGTGTACTTCATTGTAATGAGTCATTAACGCTGCAACCATATCTCCATTTTTTATGTCTGTTTTTATTTTTAAATTTTCTTCTGTAATACAAGTATATATAAAAAACTGTTAAGATACCAATTCTGGGCACAAATAAGTAGTGTCAAGCATATGATTAATTTGTATACATTTGAAATTAATGAATATTGGAGAATAATTATATCACATCGGAAATAGATTGACATAAAAAATCAACTAAAACCATTGATTTTAAAATTAGTGGCGCACACATAGGTGCCACTAATTTTAACAATAGGAAAGTATACCTGTATCTAATAAAATTGATGCTATAATATAACTAATAGAGTTATGTTAAGATACATTGTAATTTAAGTACATTTTATAATATAAAACCATTTTATATGTTCAATAAAAAGTATGATCTCAAAACTAAAAATGTAGTACATTTAATTTAAAATTTTTTTAGTCAGATGACGTGTGATACTTCTTACTGATAATAATTTAAACAAAATAAGGTCTTAAAATTAAAATTAGCAACCGCATTCAGTATTTATTTATTTTTTTTTGATAATTTAGTGTTATTTATCAACCCATTATAGTTATTTTAAAAATAATACAACTTCATACTTTTCTCACAATAGGCATAAAATTGTTTCATTTCTTTGAAATATTTTCGTTTTTGTTCATAACTTCTAATATATACATAATCAATATTTGTGCCATAACAAAATTCAACTGATGATTCATTTTTAAAAATATGGATCTTATTATTATTTAAACCTATTTTAATAAAAAAATATATATAATGTATTAAATGAATAAACTTAACTTTCAAAATCTAAATTCAAACCATTAATGCATGAATCTGAACAATCTGATAATCTTAACGAATCAATATTGGCTACCATTCTATTGACTTCATTTGTTTTGTACTCGATAACATCATTTACAACTGGTTTATTCTTAAGATTAACATTGTTTTTCTAAAATTTATAAATAATATCATAAGCAAATGCTAAGCATAAGAGTACAATGGTAACTATTAATGAGACTCCAGTGAATTTTGTTAAAAACATTATTAAGGTAATAAACACAATAATTTTAGGTATATGGTATCAATATTTTTAAATAAAACTATAAATTCGTACACAAATACGACATGCAAACTGTTTTTTTTTTTAAAAATTTAAATATGCCAGACTATCACCTTTATATAGGATATAGCATATTTTCCTTAGTATTCAATATCATGAAAATTCAGTTGTATTCAGTTTCTAATTTCAATCATATAAAATTTATTAATTTCTTTCCTCTTTTCCATGGCAGACTACAATTTTTTTAATTCAATTCACCTTAAGCTATATTACTATTTCTTATCTTCTTCTTACCACATGTTCCACACATATTATCCAATTAATTAAAACTACACCAATTCCACTGCCTGCCTAATATAGATTATTTGCACAATGTTTTTGACTATATACAAATGTAAATTTAAAACTATAATATAATTACTCTGTTGGAATGTTTTTTAAGACAAAAGTAAAACATAAAATTGTAAAATATATTTGAAAATTATAATTTTAAATAGAATATAAGTATTTTTTGATAAAATCAGAATAGTATTAACACTATATAAAATAATTCTAACGTATACATTTTTTTTCAACTATGATATAGAGCAAATGTGTAGAGGCGAGAATTCCTTCATAAATGGGATAAAATATGTTATGGGGATAGGATATACTAAATTTTATATTATACTCTTAAGATGTCAACAAATAAAAAAATTCAAAATTATAGGCAATATAAGATTTTAAATGATCTGTTCAATTTTTTTTCATGAGAAATTAAAATACTCAATACTTAAACAACATATTTAGGTTGATTTTTTAGTAATTCTATAAAACAGAATAAATAAGTTATTATTAACATGAAAAACTAATAAAAAATACTATAATGTAGTATGGATCTTCAGAAAACAATAACTCACAAAACAATTAATCAGAAACAGGTTTCGTAGTAAAATAAATAATATAAACATATTTTATTAGCTTACCAAAAAAAAATATTTGGGTATACTACATATGAGGTCTGTAAATATATTTTTTAATCTTTGTACATTTACACTATTCAACAAAGTTTTTAGCTGAATAATGTTTTCTGCATTGCATGTCTAAATTAAAAATTAAAAATATAAATTAAATTATTATGATAAATTAAATATGTATATTTATTTTTAAAAGAATTACCTCAATTAATTCATTTGAAAATTCAGTAACATATTCCAGATCTAAAATATAATAATATATTAATATTTATATGTTTATTTATTTAATGTTTATAAGATTAAAAAGTTGTAATATACTTAATTTAATATACATACTTAAGAACATATATTATTTATAAATTGTAATTAAAACTAATTTATCAACAATATAATTTTTATAAGATTTATACCTTACTTTTGTATTAACTAACTAACTTTTGTACTTATATAATACTTGAATTTAACTAGAAAAACATGACTTTTCAACAAATATTAACTATTTCTGGGAAAAAGTGAAATCATATTTAGTACATATGGAATGAAAAATTATTTCAGTCAATTAATACCAACTTTTTTTAATTATCTTAAATTAATTTTTAATTAATTAGATAATCATTTCAGAAAGCAATCAGTAAATAATCAGTAATTAGCTGAAAACCTGACCTAACTAATTTGATATAGTGAACTCATTTCTCAATAGTTATATAAATTATATTATACAAATTATTACATTTTTATACTTCCAGAATACATGCAACATAAAAACTATTTATATTCAATAACGAAATAAATAATTTACCTTGTTTTTCCATATAAATAGTTAGGTTATTAGAATTGTTTATTTTTTGAATTATTGAGTTATTGAAATTACCCGGCTTACTAAAATCAGTTTCTTTAATGGAACTATAAACAAAATTTAATAAAATATAACCATAAAAGATTTTTTAAAAATAAATAAAACTATTAATCTGTTTAAAACTAAAAGCTACATATATTTGTTTTAAACAATTAATTTGTAAGAATATTTTTAAATTATAATTTACCACAACTCTTTTGTAGTAATGGCTAAGAAAAGAAGTTTTCTCACATTTATGTCTTCCCAATTCATCTCTGAATGTAATTCATTTATTGTGTCTATTGTTTTAGTATTAACTAAAACATAACCTTTATGCAGTTCCTAAATATTAATTATAATAAGTTATATTAGTTATACAGCTGTGCATATTAGTTTGTAATTAATCATATCTTCAATTTTAATATTATACTTACACTTTCTAATAATGAAGGCTGAACACATAATTTTCCAAGCTTTGGATAAGAAATCTCATTGATAGGTTTAATAGAAATACACTAGAAATAAAATTATTCTAATATTATTATTATTATTTTTTTTATATTATTATATTATTTTACAAAATATAATAAAAGAAGAGATTGATATAATATTTCAAATTGATAATTTTAATCGATAAGGCTACATAAATGTTCAAAATTAGTACATTTTATAGACTCCAATTTTACAAAAACTACTGGATATTCAAGTGCCAATAATAAATTAATAATCACTTAATCAGAAATCTAACCATAATTTATCAATTTTTCTAACTAATGTTTACTAAATATTCACATTATCAAATTTTGTTTATAGCTAAAATAATATACATATTGTTAACACATAAGTTAATTAATATATATAAAAATGATTCATAACTTATTAATTGTATTAAAATAAATTAAATTTTACAATATCTAATTTGTGATAGTTACATTGTTACGTTCATTTGAAAAATAATACTTACTAAAGGATCATATTTATAATAATCTGGAAGTTTATATAAATCACACAATTGTTTTTTAATAATTGATCCTGAATCTATTAATTCTACAGCTGTGTTATTAGACAAAAATTCATTGTAACTCAACATTCTACCTCTGTACCTAGAAATATAATCGTTTAAACATTTAATGTTTAGCTTTAGTATATTATTAACATTTTAATTAATAATTTTAGTTCTTTATATTAAATTAACAACTAATTATTCTAGTTCCATTGAACATATTTTCATTAATAGACAAAAAAACAAACATACCTACCTTATAGATAAAACTAAAATAATTACTAAATATTAAAATTATCTATTAAACAATAAATATAATTTTTAACATATTTTAATTTTGTTAGATTAAATTAGATTACATTGTATATTTTTATTTTGAATTTATAATTAAATTCAAGAGCAACTACAATAAGTAATATGAGTATTAGATAATATTTGATGACATATAATGTTGTACAAGAATTAATTAATTTCATTTTCTTGTGAAATAATTTTTACTTTTGAATCAGAAACCAGGTACATACATATAATAATTAACAATAATAACTTTAATTATTGTTGATTCATATTAAATTAAATTTTAAGAAAGAAACAAAAGAAAAATAATAATTTAAAAATAATAATGAACAATAAATTTTATCTTTAAGTTTATTTTTAAGTATATATTACTTATATCTTTAAATTTTAAAATATATAAAATTAATTAATTTTATTTATAGTAAAATATAAATGTACTTACTAAACAAAATTGTTTATACTTATTCAGAAATGTTTATCCTTACCACTAACCATAATCCTTCAATTTCCAAGGCAACTAATTCCATTAATTTATATGAACTAACTTTTTCAAACATATAGCTATATAATGCCATTTCATACATATCTTTGCAACGTTTTAAATATTTTTCATTAGTAGTCACTAAATAAATTCCATTATTATTAGGTTTATAACCTGGGATTAAAAAAACCTAATAAAATTCAAAGCATTATTAAACATTACATAATTAAAAAATAAAAAACAATGTTATTTAAAATAATAAATTGTTATTCCAATAGATTTTGGTAGTACAACTTTTTTTAAATATTTTTAATTTAATGAAAAAATGAAAAGACAGTAAAAATGTTAAAAAAGTATAACATATAAAGATACTTAGTAAAACCTAAAATTGATATAACATAACAACTGAATAAAAATGTCAAGAAAAAGTAATGCATACAAAATTTAAATTCGATAAATAAAATTACTTCAAACTAGAAGTTCTAAAAATATGTGAATAGTTTTATTGAGACACCAATTTGGAAATAATGAAAATTGTTAAATAAATCTGATACTTTATGGTATATAGCATTGTACCAATTATGTTTGTAAGGTAAATTTTATGTAATTTTAAATAAAAATAAATTGCATGTAATGTATATAATATGCTAAACAAAACATAAATTTAAACCAAAAACCACAAATATTTTCCAGAATGTGTTCAATTTGTTGAAGTACCAAATTTCTTCGAAAGAAATAATTGATGTAAGCCATAGTAGTGATCATATAGAGGAAAATATTAATATAAAAATTGAAATATGAAATGAAATTTAAATTAATAACTAATCATCTAGTATCCGATATAATAAAGATAAAAAAAATAAAGTTAAAATGAACGATTATTATTTTTCATACACATTATATAAACATTACACAATTAACACAATTAACTTACATTAGTCCACGTGTCCAAAGGGAGAAATGACAAAACTTGTTGGGACGTAAGACCCATTATATCAAGTCTATATTGAACAAAAAAATCGATCAACTTAATATTGTAGGCGCAATTTACACGCTACAGATTACAATGTGGTAAAAACTTAAGCTATAGTAATTGTTTTAAAAACTATGTGAGAATAAGCAAGATCAATGTATATTAATAGTATATGGCTAACCCACACGTCAAGCTCACTTTCGTAATCTACCTATAATACGTTAACACCTTATTTAAATTACATAAGACTCGACGGTTAGAAATGAACAAAACAATAATATAAAAAGTTTAACTGAAGAATATACTATTAATAACTAAAATTATTGTGTACGCTACCATACAAAATTAGCACGAAAAATGTATGGTACAATAATAAACTGGACAAAAAATACACGTGAGATCGAGTTTATAATAAGGCTCAAAACGAAAACAACGGAAAACAATTGGAAAAACGTGAAACTTGCACATTGGGCACTTGATGCAGTGACGCCATACGTGATGTACTGCTGTCACGTATACTGATTGCATGGGTAGCAACAGTATTATATCGTTGATGATTGGCCATCCTGCCATTTATAAAATATAAAATATCATAATGCTATTTAAAATATAATTATCACCAACGAACACGAATATAGATATTAATATTATCCTTATCAATTTTATTACTCCGTGAACATTATAAAGAGAAAATTCGCTGAACTGTGTCAATTATAACGGTTTGGATTTAACGCATTCCCCAAAATGCGCTCCGCACAGTGGTAATGTCGTTTTTACATATATAGCATACGACATTTATTGGTTTTTTATTATTATAATTTAAGCGGTTACACTCACGAATAATTGTTACAGAATATTATTTTTGAAAATATTTTCTCCATTGGAAGAATATGTTTACAAGAATTACGACTTGTTGAATCTGAGTTATGATTTTTCTAATATTATGAGTATACATGTTTAGTTGTTAATTATTATTATTTGGGACTTGTTCAAGAAAATTTTCATAGAACTTGTATAGTATATACAAGTGGTTCCCAAACAGTGAGGCGTGCCTCCTTAAAGAGCAGTGGCGTTGCCATCGAGGAGCCCAGTGAGCCATGGTATAAATTACGGCTCTTGAAACCCGCACGGACAACACAAATCAAACAATAAAGGCTTAACCCTACAATATTCCATTGACATCATAAGTACATCACATCTTGAAACAATCAGTCCAAGGTGCATCCGGCTATACCCCTCTATATAACAGTGATACACATCTCTCCTGGAGTTTTGCCCATAGACCGCCAGTACATTTGCAAGCTCTTGCTCATAAGCCACCGGCGTGTGTGTAAGGGACTCTTGATCTTAGGTCATTAGTACGTTCGCACTGACCGTCAGATTAATAAAGGAGTATCCTGTTACGAGTGATCACCAGTGGTGTAGTGGAGAGTTCACGGGGGTACATATATTTTATTTGGATTGCCAGACTATCCGGTTGCTCTGATTAGTTCTTGAACCTTTGTAATCCCGAGAGCCCTCCCTCAAACAAGGAAGAAGGTAATCAACCTATAATATATACCAGTGGCGTGTACAGAAAATATTTATAACTAACCTTACCAAATTACCAACCTTATTCAGTAGGGGTTGTGAACTATACAAGTCTACTATACGATTGATTATGAATTTTTATTTGTATACTTACGTTTATGCGTTTAATTAATTAGGAATAAATAATTTATGACAATAACAATGATTGAACATTTCTATTCAAACTGTGAATTCAATTGAAATTACAAATATTATATTGTGTTATGTACGTGAACATAAAAAACAAATTTCATTAGGCAAAGGCTTTAATGTTGTAGCTATTAAGTTATCTTGAATGATAAGGTATAATAGTTACCTGCAGTGTCGGCGTGACTCACGGTTTGCCTTACGTCCCGGAAAACCGGAATTATCACCGGTTTTGGACTGAAATCTTAGGTACTCCCATGTTGCCGGCTATTAATAGTCCTCTTTAGTGGCATATACATAATTTTTATATGGTGGAAGGGATGATTTGCAAATAAATCGTTATTTTCATTTTATTATTATTTTTTTTTTCGTTTCTAACGCCCTCACTCTAAGAAAATTATTTTATAACAATTAAAAAAAGGCCTAGAGGGGATCTGACCTCCACATCCCCCCCTTGTATAAGACACGGGTCCTCTCAATATATTAAAAGTTATAGAAAAAGTATAGTACTCAATATTGTGTTTGTGTTGTCTCGGTTTCGCCTTATAAATTTATGGCAACCCTAGGCGTGAGGGGTGTGCAGAAAGTGCACAGGGGCTCGCACTTTTCGATCGGCTTTTGGGCCTCGCACTTCTATTTTGTAGTATATTCAGAACCGGAGCCTCGCGTTTATAATTAGCACAGGGCTTTGCAAATCGTAGCATCGGTAATGGTTACCGATAAAACTCATAAAACCTCACATCATAAATTGGTTCAAACATAAACCATAGTATCTGTGATACGATATTATACATTGATAAGAACCATCCATGTGCAATATATTGTACGATTAGTTTTGTTATTGTATACAAATATAAATTTGAAAAAAACCAAACGGCTTTAAAATCATCATAGGCGTAGGTTTTGAGTGTTTTTCATAAAATAATTTTCCTATTATTGCATTTTTTTTTTTTTTTAATACTACAATGAATTCCACTCGTGAAATTATAACGTTGCAGTTTGGTCATTATTCTAATTTTATTGGTTCACATTTCTGGAATTTACAGGTATTTTCTTATTATATACTTCTATCGGTAACAAATTGTTACATTAAATTATATAATTATTTCAACAATAGGAAGCAAGTTTCAACTATGATGAAAACTGTGAGCCACAGGAAATATGTAATGATGTTTTGTATCGGGAAGGTGTTAATATGAAGGTACATATATGATTTTGATCAGTTATTAATTGAAAAAATAAAAATGTTTACATTATCTACATATTATATTCCATTTGCTTGGTAATTATTTTATTTGTGAATCTATTGTTTTTTAAGTCTTTTAATCTGCTTTTTCTATTCATAAAATTATAAGTACAATTAATAATATATTTGTATTTGATTTCATTAAATTATATTACCATTAAAATACCTTTATAATAATACATTTAATTGACATAGTTTATTTTTTATACATTTTTATAAATTTTTCATGGTTCTTGATACTTTGTGCTTTGTCCAAACTAAATTTTATCGAATATATACTTGACTATAATATAGATAAATTCTTATTTATTTTTTTTTCCTGGTCAACAGATATAAATATTTATTGAAATATATTATTATTTGTTATATTATTAAGTAAAGGTACTTTGGTTTTGTATTATATTGTTATAAGAATAAATTATATCTATCTAACTTTTTTTTTTTAATATTTATGAAACAAAAATATGTACTTTGAATACTGACATGTATTTTATCCTATTTTCATTTAAGAAATCAATTAATAGATAGAAAAATATTTTGTGCAATGGAATTATTTCAACATTTAAAACTGAAAATCAATTTTTTTAAGAGAGCTACTAATCCAAGACCATTTTTTTAGAAGTTCACAATTAATGAAGACCATTTTCAAACAATTTAATTCAGTGTTTAAGTGTTATTAGATTTAATTAAAAATAATAATATTTAATAATTATTTTGTATTTATACTCTATATCTACTATATTACTATGTAAACATAGAAAACAAGTTTATGAAAAAAAAATTAAAATTTAATTATGTTTTTGAATTATTAAAAAGATTGCTAGTCCTTTTTTTTCTTAAATCATACTTTACGGTCCAAAATGTTGAAAAATTCTAAAATGTTTATCATTTAAAGTTATTACTAAGAACAAAATTTGTACAGGTTATACAAAACAAATATGTAACTTGATATTTTATGTTATATCATCTTTCAATTTACTTATAAATTTCGTTATTTTTTTTTTTTTGTAATAAGTTGTTAATGTTTTTCTCTTCTTATTTATATTAAATTATATTTTAATAAATATCATTTTTACTAATTTATTAATAAAAGAGCATAATCTGTGCATAGATTCAGTCTTGTATGTTTATTTATGCTTTTCAGTATGAAGGTTGGTGGAAAGTAAAATTATACCTTATGTCAAAATGCCAACTGCGATTTTTTTCATATAAGTATTCATAAAAATGAAATATACTCAATTTTTATATCATTAAAAAAAAAAAAAGAACTGTTAACTCTTATCTGCGTTAATTAATATTTTTGTTCAAAAGATATGGATATAGATTTAGGATTAAGATGATATGGAAAATTATTTGAACCTAAAAAAGCCTAAAATGTTATATGTGCATTTATGGCACAACGCATACAAAAACTGTGTTTGTGTCATATTTGGACTTCATTTACATTAAATTACTCAACGGTTTTATGTGCTATGTATGAGACATAAGCAGTTATAAAACAAAACAAAAGTAATTAAACATTATCCTGTTTATTTAATTATTTATTAATTTATGTATTACATTTTTCTGTTTTCATATCAGTTTTTGATTTTTAGTAACATTATTTACATACTAAATTAAATCAAGTATACAAATACGAATTTGTAGTTAACTATACAATAAAAAAACAACAAACAAAACCTTATACCAAAACTTGATTTTGTTTGTATGAGTCATTATTTTCTGATGCAGAACTATATTTACTTTTGTCTGGAATGTTAATTTTATTACGAATCAATTTTTGTTCTACCAAAAAAAAAAATCATACATTTTGAGTATGAAGTGCCAAATATGGCCAAATTATGAGTATTAAGCTGTGCCATGTATGGAACTTAGTCTAATTTGGGTAGTCTATTAATAACTATTATAGCTATGAATATAAACTTACATTTTTTAGAATCTGTATTAGAAAAGAAACCTACAGCTAAGTAATGTTTTGATTAATTAGCGGTAACCAAAAAGTCCTGTTATTAATAAATAAACAGGCGCAAAATCTGATAATGCTGCATAAAATATTTAATAAATATTTTATAAATTATAGTATTTTATTTTATCGCTAAACAAAAGTATTTTAAATCAAAATTGTTTAGTTTTTCTCATCGAATTCAGCCATGTAAGAAGTATTGGAATTTGATAATTTGTTATTGAAATAAACAGTAAAAACTAATTTGTGTCATTTTTGTTTCAATATGCAGAAGGGGTTAAAATAACATATGATATTATCATTTGTTCAATATTAAATTATTGTTATGAAGTTTAAAAGTAGTTACCAAGATTATACTTGTACATTTTATAGGAATTTATATTATACCTCATATTTTATATTTTCAAAAAAATAGTAATTAGGAAACTTGCAAAATTGTGAGGAATTCTGAGATCACCCTGAGAATGGCATCGAAAACGACTGCCTGAGTATATTGTTGATATTTCTATTTCACTAATTGTTTTATATTTTATTTTTACTATAATCAACTTCAGAAATGTTCACCTTTAATATCATTAACTTATATTGAAATGCTAGTATTTAAAAATTATTTACTTTTTACATTTCAAGCAGATTAAATTTCTTTTGACCTAGTTTATTGTAGGGTCCCATATACTGTTCCAATTGTTTGGTCACATTTGTTTAGTAGATACTGAAAAACAATATTTAATTAAAATTGTAATCTAGATTTAAAAAAATTTATCCAAACATATTTATAATTTAAAGAAAACATGTTATTAACTTTGAACTATTATAATTTTTATCAGTATATTAAACTTATGAATGTTTTTTTTGTGAGCTATTTGGAGTTTTGTATTCTTATTTAAAAATAACTATAAAAACCAAATAATATGTTGGTCAACAATGTATAGTGTGATACATTGTTTTTAATTATTAATTCTGAATACAGTTTATTTAACTTGTTGATATATTGAATAAATATTTCATTATTTGGAGGTCAGTCAGTATTATCATGAATATGAACATTAATCTAACTATATAAATTATATAATTTTTTGTAATACATGAATGTTTATTAAACTACAATATACATTACGTTTTTGTTATAAAGTATTAAAACCAATAAATCCTATTTTAAACTGTAATTATTTAGTTTTCTAGATAAATACAATTAATTTTTAAAAATATTTATCAGATATCAAATGTATAGGATTTCTTGTGAACTTATATAGTTATAAGTGTTACAGTAAACTCATAGAATAGATTAATTTTATCTAATCTATTAAAAGTAATTAGTTTCCTTAAATACTTGGTAAAGTAATTATATGGTCACTATATTTAACTTTAGGTGGCTTATAATATATTTAAAATATTTAGAATAAATTAAGTTGAATAAAAAAAAATAAATATTATTTCATCCTTATAATTCAATTGGTGGACATAAAAAACTAATTATTTATCAAATTGTAAAACAGGGTGAGGTAACCTATACACCACGTATGTTGTGTGTTGATCTTAAGAATAGTTATTACCAATTGCCAGATGTACATGGAGGTTTATATGATCTAGAAAGCAGTGATTTAGATGAAGAATTACTTGATTCATCTACAAAAATTCAAACAATTCGAGAAGAACTAGTTCCACATAATGAATATTTTGCAGATCTAGCAAAACAAGAACAATTTATTGGTAATTTATCATTCAACATCAGTTTTATTATGTATTAATTATATAATTATTTTCACAATTATGATCAATACCATTAAACATAATTATATCTTGTGTTTAAAATTGTTTTCGATGATTTTAATGTTTCTGGTATCTCAAGTTCATATAATACCTTAATTAATAGATCATTTTTTCTTATTTCATTATTAATTTTTGTTTTAATTATTAATTATTTAATTTTAAAAAAGAATATAATATAATATAATATAATATTTTAAATTCATATAATGATATGTTAAATTAAAGAAACACTTTAAGATCATTATTAATTATTATTATTTATAGATATTAAGTAATAAGCATAATATAAAATAATATAGTTAAATTTAAAAAATATATACATAAAAAATTATATCAGAACTAATAAATAGTTTAAATTTGTGATCTATATTTTATAAGCTTTTTTCTCTACTTTAGTAAATTTATACATTTTTGTATTTCTTTTGTTTTTTATATATTTATAGTAATTATTCATTTTTAAATTAATTATCTTACATTATTGAACAGTGGTAATTTGTATCAATAATTTGTCAGTATCATTACATTATTGCCATATACAATGTAAACAAATATATGCATATAAACAAATAATAAAATAATTTTTTTTTTTAATAGACTGCATTTGTTTTTGAACAAAAGCAGATATTTTTTTCTCAAATTTCTATACTTTTTATTTATTATTTTAAATGTTTTCTTTAGTAGATAATTACATTCCAAAGTGTTGAATTTAATTGTACATTATATACAAATATAGCTATTATTTCTATGTCAATGATATTTAGTTATTTTTACATTACATTTTTCAATGAATATAACAATCTACATTATTCATAAACAACTAATATACTCATACAATGTGCCCTGGAATAAAATGAATGGTTAACATAATTTGAAGGTATATCAAAAATGATGAATAAATACCCTTTAAAGAGAGGGTATACATTTTTTATTTTTCAAGTTATGGATAATTTACCTTTTTTTTTATGTATTTCTAAAAATGTTCAATATTTTAACATAGTCATTATTTTGTTAAATTTTGAATTTTGTCAAACTAAAATAATTTTATCCATATATTCGAATAAAAGCTAAGAAACCATGAAATGTTAATAATAAACTATAACTAACTATAATTAACTTAATATAAATAGTTCAAAAAATATTTCGAAAATTATATCATCTTTAATGAATGATTATTTAAATATTCAGTGAACATTTCAAATTTCTATGATACCTAGTTAATTTTTATTTTTATTTTTTTGAATTACGATTAAACACAAATTCTAATTTTGTCAAAAATTTGTATGCCGTTAATGTTGCCCTATTTTTTTATAAATTGTTGTTACTTTTTTATTCAGAAAATTTTTGAGATTCTAAAAATTCTTAAAGTTACCCCTTCTATCAACTAGACAACATTTCCTATCAAAAGCTTTTATAGACTGATGATCAGAACAATCCTTCTGGTCAAAATCATGTGCATAGACACAAAAAAAAAATAAAACATTATAGTAAAACTAATAAGTTCCTCATTTTACTTAGAATCTTGAAGTAGTTTGTGTTATATATGGTTTTTTTTTATACTTCCTTTAAAATTAATTATTTTTTTTTTTGTTTATTAGGTATTTGCCTATAGTCAATTCTTAAATATATGTACAAAACTTTTTACTGCCTGAAATTTTAATTCCTAAACAATGCATAAATATTTATTAACTGTTGTTTGTAATGTATTCTAGATAATGGTGTTGAGGAGAAATTAAATGTAACTGAAAAAGTTTACAATTTGGATAATGATGTTAAAATTTGGTCAGATTTTTTGAAAGCTCGTTTTCATCCAAGAACTATCACATCGATTGATGAGTACAAACACAATGATACAAGCAATTTATTCAATAATTTTGCCCAAGGAATGGCACTTTGGGATTCATATAAAATGAAAGAAATTTGGACTGATAATTTACGCTTATATGCAGAAGAGTGTGATTATTTACAGGTATATTTCATCTTTCAAAGATAAATTAAGAGATTTTGGTATCTGTGCAAATAATATTTGGTTTAGCTAACTATGAATTTCTTAAAAAATATTATTAGTTTCCCTATTAAATTAGCTTAAAATTCATAAATGGACATACTTACCTTAATTTCAAACACTTTTTTTTTAATAACTTGTATGATGCCAGTAATGTTAATTTAAATATATTGTTATTAAAAACTATGTTGTATTGATTTGCTTAGCATTGTTTTCGAATAATACCGTTCCAGACATGCGCGCCTGCAGGGGGGGGGGCAAAAGGGCCATTGCCCTTACTGGGAATTTTTGTTTCAAAACTATTGTTAATTTAATACTACGCATCTTAATTATAATATAATTTTATTGAGATCCATTTATGAAGTTTAGTAAAATAGTAAATGTATTATATTTTAAGATAATCTAAAATGTATAATCTTGAACGTATTTATTAGTTTACAATGTTTACACATGACTGCATATCGCTTAAAACTGTAAATTTTCCCGAGTACCGATTTCTATGGTATTTGATTTCATTCTCATTTATTTTTAGATATACGTTATTTTGGTCCTTAGAATTTTAATCTTGCCCCGGGCGGGATTTTATCCTGCCACCGCGCTTGGTTCCAGACTTTTCGCTGTTTAACTTTTATTGTTTTGAAAATAATGTATACACATAAAATATTTTTTATTTATTCATTAGGGATTCCATATTTCTATGGATTCGTTGAATGGTTTTGGAGGCTTAGCTTGTAAATCTCTTGAATACTTAAAAGATGAATATTCAAACAAAAATATTATCGCTATGCCAGTAATGTCAAATAACTATATTATTGGTGATGAAAATTCCGAATTGTATGCCGTAAATACATCACTGTTATTTTCTTCACTATTTGAGCATTCAAACATGTTTGTGCCACTGTCTACATCCGACGGTGGATGGGTAAAAAGCCAAAAGCATCTTAGTTTGGATTATTTATGTTATAAAGTACGGTACAACTGTTATACATATTGATGTTTTGATTATTTACGATTTATTCAAAATTTAAATTTCAGAACGAATTAGATTATCACTCTAGTGCTATTTTAGCGTCAGCTATCGACACTTTTACATTGGGTTATAGGAGCCGTTCGGACTGTGGTAGTATGAAAACCGAGTGCACCAGACTGACTCCTTTGGGCCGAAAGGCTGTATCGGCTTCAATTCAACTACCTCTTGGGTTTGAATCAAAATCAAATTTACTCGATTTCTTACAAGAATCAAAGTTGCCACTGTGGCAACCTATTTCGCCTCGATGCATTACCGAAATGTCTGTGGCCCAAACGGTAGTTTTGAGAGGCATCAATGAAAAAATGCTGTATTCCAAGTCAGTTATTATATATTCTATATTAATGTGTGGTTAAATATTTTTATTTTTGATATTTTAGCAATTTTATCAGGGACTCAAAAAATCCGTCACATCATTGTACGTCAGTTAGTGCAATGTTGAAATTATACTTGTCATTTTGTGATAATGTGCGAATGACAGAAGTTTATGCATTTGATTCGTCGCTGGAAACCATAGCACCATTTCCTAATATATTTTCTCAGTACGTCAACCAACACGGATTCTTAGAATCAACTTATAGATCGGCTACTTCTGGTAACTATTTTTTTCTTTTATGTTTACGTTTATCAGCATCAAGAAATATTTGTTTTAATTGTTTAATTAGTGGTCGCAAAATGTACTGCTATCAGCGGTTTACACAACAGTAATTCAACAAGAGACATGTTGATAGAGTTACAGACCGATTCTAGCAAAGTTAAATGTTCGAAATTAAGTCACGTATTTAATTACGAGATTGACTTAATGGATTATAAAGAAACTCTTGAAAATCTGCTTGTGTTAAGTGATAATTATTCAACAAACGATTGTTTATAGTTCGTTTTTATTTTACAATGGTTTTCTGTTAAATTATTAAAAATAAAAATAAAAAACCTTTTGCCATCTATGTTTGTCTTCGTTATTGACTGTATTTATACACTTCTTTAACGATTGGGTGCGTACAAATTAAATGTCCATACGTCTCTCAAGGTGATTCACATTCATAATATTAGTACATGTGCGCGGAATGCGTGTGCGCGCACTGGCGTTCGCGCGCGTATAGACAATATAAACGTATTAGTCGCGTGTACTTATCGTTAGTATTAGTTCTAATAGACACCGCTACTACATTACATTAATGTGTCGAACGAAATTCACCAATAACCATCATTACCGCGTTCAACTCTTTTACGCACATTTAGTTAAATAGGTAGGTGTTTACGTTACACGTGCGAAACAGTTACGTATTTTCATCGTTTTTAAACTATGGACACGTCATGGGAACATTGGAAAACGGTATCCTTACTTGTTTGTGTGTTCGCTATGGTCAGGGAAATACGACCGATTGAGCCGTTTTTCACAACATACCTAGAAAGTTTGAATTTCACTTTGGACCAGGTATTTGAATTTTATTTTGTATGAACTTAGTTGTTATGCGTGTAATTGTTATATTGCGTATAAGTGCGATTTAGGAGCATAACAACCGGCAAACGGGCGATTTCATCGATCGTGTAACCTGTAACTCATTTCCCATGCAAACATTGTGAATTTTTGAATAGTCAAAGCTGCTGGTCTAATATTTCGCGTTTTACGAGCGAAAAAATAGAACCACTAAAATTATAAAGTAATAATCAAACTCTATATTTTTCGAAGAAAACCGGTAGATAGGTACTGCGCAATTTATTTCCAAGTCCTAACGCATTACCACGAATTGTAGGCCATAACTAGGGAACGGATTTGAATGCAAATTACATTTTTTTCTGAATGTCCGAAAACATTTCTTTCCAAGCACGAAGTTTATTTAATACATCAAGGAATTAAAATATGAAATTTTTATTTTGAATTTTTTAAGACTTTTTGCTTTTTAGAGCTTTTTTTGATATTTTTAGTGCATTTTAATGTTGTATGTTATTTTTATAAAAAATTTGTTGCTTGGAATTATAAAAGTTTTAAAAAAATATAAACATTAAATTTAAATTGTTTAACATTTTTCGTTTTGTCTCATAAATTAGTTATTTTTACGTAGACCGGCTAATTGTATCTACCTAAACGTAATTCTCAAATTTTGAAAATCCCCGTTAACGTGAAGAAACGACCTAAATAGCAAAATAACCTCGATAATGTTACGATACGTGATAACGACAAATAAGTAATATAAAACTAAATAAAAATTAATATTATATTTTTAATAATGATGTGTTTTTTATAAGTTTTAAGTTATAATAACAATATATTATACATAAACAAATCTGTTTTAAATTGTGTTTTTAAAAGATTTCTTAAAAAAATTTTTAGTGCATTTTTTTAAGTCGTATTTTTTTTAGGACATTTTTCTTCATTTTTATTGCAATAAAGTCCGTTCCCTAGCCATGAAATACAAGTACAGCAGCTAATATACAAATTCATATATTATAGAAAAAAAAATGTTGATAATTAATATTTTAAATCAGTGCTTCATTCGTATTCGCCATACAATTTGACACTAGTGATTTGGGTAAAAAAAAAAAAAAGAAAAACAATCAGCAACACCCCTGTGTGGTCGTGGATGTTATGTATATTTACACGAACGTGTGTAATACGGACGTGCGAAAAACATTAAATTATTTAACCACGCTTCACCGTTACTGCAATCATACACAGGTTAACGAGCAGATATACGCCGTGGGAACTTACTCGTGTCTGGTGCTGGCGGTCGTCATATTTCTGATCACAGATTACCTCCGATACAAAACGCTCATTGTCGCGGACGGGATTGCCGGGATTTTTACGTATGTATTGCTGCTCGGAACTCCCAGTTTGACGAGGATCCAAGTAAGATTTTGAACGGTCGACGTGACTAGCTATTACAAAAGCTTTGCCGCGCCAATAGCGCAATAATCATTTATCAATATACAAATGAATAGTTTATTTATTTCTATACATAAACTATTCATTTATATTTTTATTTACGAACATTTATTAATTTAATTTAATTTATTATTATTTTAGTAATAATTTATTGTTTTTTTTCAATTGAAACACAACGCAGGTAGAACAAATGTTCTTTGGATTTTTTTATTCATCAGAAGTTGCGTTCACTACGTATTTGTATGCCAAGGTCGACGACATTCGTTATTATCAAAAGATCACCAGTCTAGTGAAAGCATCTATGCTATTTGGCAGATTCCTGTCTGGACTAATTGCGCAAACTATTGTTTCCACACATTTATTGAATTATATTCATCTAGTGTACATCAGTATAATTAGTAGGTGACTCGCGCTACAATAATAGTTACTATTGTAATAAAATTAACATTGAAACATGTTATTGTCACGTTGAACTATCGGATTAGGAGTTAAGAGTTTTGACTGACATTCGTGTTCGAAACGCTGTTACATGAAATATCTTATAGCCACTTGACTCAGCACGAGAGTGGGATATGTGTTAATATTGTATGAAGTTACATATATCTTTACCGTGTTAGTGTACTTAGTTCGCCTGGACGCGCTATACTTGGAAAAATTAAATGAATTAATGAGTTGTGACATTATAAGCTAAATTATAAATAAAATTTTCGGTTATATTAGGTACATGTCGTATAATTTAATATTCACGGCCGTAGACCTAGATTGTCAGAGTTCAGTGACTTCATTAATGTTTTAAGTTATAATAATGTTTCTTATAAATCTACTCAGTGTTCATATAGGTTGACAATTATCTTCTACAAGAAGAATTCTAGTCATAAAATATCATGGTAATCAACCGTTTAAATTAGAAATCTAATAAAGTAAACACTTATACATTTTTAGATATTGTTGAGGTAGATTTAACCTTTTCAGACCCTATGTACGTCACAGAGAACATTATTTTAAATTCATTCCAATTATTATTTCTGACTTTAAAAATTGGTTATAACATATTAAAAATGTATATTTAATAATATTATAATGAATACAAAAAGCATAATATTTCTATTGTTAGTCTTGTAATGTATATTTTATTTTTAAATAAGAACTAGTCAAAATGTCTCTGCATTTATTAACTATTGTGATCAGACTGATTTATATTTTATTATTTATTTAAATACATAATACATAGTACTATACAATTTTTGATTTTATTATTTTAACTGAGTAATAACCCAAGGCTCTTCGCAGAGGGTAGATAATCTTATATTTCATCAAAAAATAATTTAAACCTATTTTTTTCATATATTTATACTCCTTTATTATATTGAAAGTATAAAATAATTATTTCTTCAAATAGTTAATTTTAGGTCTGAAAGTGTTAACTCTGGGTTTTATTTCAATTTTATATTAAATTATCAATTTTTCAAATCCTGTTGGTTGGGAGGGTGGTAAAAAGCAAAGAAATAAAATCTATTTATCTCACCATGCAAAATAATAAATAAATATAGCAATTTACAAGGTTTTCTATAACAATCTTTAACAAACTAGTATATAAATTAATATATGTTTAGCCTGGAGTATTATTATACATGTAATGCATTATTTTATATATTTAAATAGGTATATAAACTATTTATTTATATAGTCATTTACGAGTATTAACAATTAACTAATTTTTATTTTATTACTTTATAAACAAACAAGTGTTGTATAACTTTAATTTTTTTGAAATTCATATTTATTTTTAAGCAATAATAATAATAATAGTAAAAAATATATATATATATATATATATATACATTGAAAACAGCGTAAGATACACTTATATAAATATATTATTTAAGTGTACTTTATACCAAGGAAAAATAAGAGAATACATCTTACGGGCTTATAAAGTTCAATAAAGCATCTCGATGTAAAACTCAATTCTTATTTCTAGAAATTACAGTGATAAGTGTTTTATATTCAATATATTTGTTCAGTTATTACTTTTTTTAGTCAATTTCCTTGCACTTATTTTTAGTATGAAGACGTAAAGTAAAAACGTATTTTGCTATTTAATTCTATACAACAGTGGTTCCCAAACTTTTTTTATTCAAGGCTCCCTAATAATTAAACATTTTTTTCACGCCTCCCTCAAAGAATATTCAATAAAATAGGTTAAAAATTGCTTAATATATAATATTTATTAGTCTTAAATAAAAATTTTGATGACAAAAAAAAACAGTAAACTTAATAATGCGAACATGATAATTAATAAATAATGCGAACAATGTGCTTGTTTTTCGTTTCTTAATTTTTCAAAATTATGAATTAATGTAGTTACTGCAACACGCATTTCTTTTTCCACATTGAGTTTGGATCGATATTTTGATTTTAATACGGCTACAGCTGAAAATCCTGCTTCACATAAATACGAAGTGGCAAATGGTATTAATATACGTAAAGCTTTGTTGCTAGTTTCAGGATATTCATCTTTAATACTGTGCCAAAATCCTAAAAGTGGATATGAAGAAAATTGCATTCGTAGTGAAGAATCGGATGAAATGTCGATTAATTGTTCCTCTTCTGTAGTTATGAAATTTGAGTGAATTTTAGTGAACGGGTCTTTAATCCAATAGTACTGTTTCATTTCTTCGAGGAAATATTTCATGAAATGAGTTTCAAGATTCGTCAGATGCTCTAAAAATATTATCTTTAAACTCATTGGTAATTTAAAATCATTCTCTCCAAGAAAATATTTTAAAAGTGGAAAACAAGTGATTTTGCCATTTTCTTCTGTTAATTTTCTTTTCCATAAGTTGATTTTTTTAATAAAAGTAACTATTTTATCGTATAATTGCAGAATATAAGTTTCTTTACCTTGTAAGGATATATTAAGTGAGTTAAATTTTTCAAAAATATCACATAAATAGGCTAATTTTATTACAAAATCATTATCAACAAACATTTCGCTATTATTATAACCTTCTCCATCTAAATAAGAATAAAGTTCTTGTCTAAGTTCGAATACTCTTGAAAGTACATTGCCTTTAAATAGCCATCTAGAATTACAGTAAAACAGTAATGTTGTATATTCTGCTCCCATTTCTTCACACAGTTTTTGAAAAAATCTTGCTTTAACAGGTCTTGTTTTTACATAGTTGACTACTTTTATAACTATTTCAAGTACATAATTTAAAGAGCAACTTATATTTTGTGATGCTAAAGCCTCTCGATGAATAAGACAATAAGACAATGATATGGAATTTCTAGAGCTTTTTGTCGAATTAAAGCCTGAAGTCCACCGTACTGACCAGACATAGCCCGAGCTTTATCTGTACACACGCCCAAACAGTTTTCCCATTTAATATTATTATGATCCATAAAATTATTAGATAAAATTATTAGTGATATCAAATAGGTCTTTAGCTTTAGTACCTCTTAATATAGATTTACAAAATAATAATTCTTCTATATTATGTACTCCATCCATAAACCGAACATAACATATTAAATATACATCTTTATTATTATCGGTTGCTTCATCAAGCTGAATCGCGAAATTGTTATTCCTTAATTTATCAATAAGCTGATCATTAATATTGTCTGAGATGTCTTGAATTCGCCGACTAATAGTATTATTAGACAAATGTATATTTTTAAGTTGGTTTGCTGTGTTTAAAGCCGGGTTTACACGCAACGATAAATACTAGCAATTTATCGTAAAGATCGAATTGTTCCAATTTATCGTTGCGTTTAAATAGGATATTGTAGCGATTTATTGGAATTGGAATTGGATCGGATGATTGATGCCGACCGGCATCAATTTTTGCGAATCGTAACGATATTTGTTATAAACATGTAACAACCATTTATGGCTACAATTTGAGTTTACAAGAAATCGTAGCGTGTAAAAAATATTCACTATTTCGATAAATTGGTACAATAAAAACGACGATAAATTGTCAATTACATTGTAACGATTTATTGTTACGTGTAAACCCGGCTTAAGTTGGGTAAGTAAGCAACGTGTGTCGTGTATGGATAAAGATAAGATAATTGCTTCTACAAAATTTTTATCAGACATGAAATTGATCTAAAAATAACAATATGTGTAAAATTCCAACCGCGCGCCGCGCCGCCCTTGTTAAGTGCTCGCGCCTCCTTTGGGTGGCGCGCCACATAGTTTGGGAACCGCTGCTATACAACATACCTAAGTTACTTTGATATTTATTAATCAATTGAGTTTAATCTTTAAAATTATGATTTTTGAAACATTTACATAAATACAATAACTAGTTAACATGTGGTTAGTACTGTATTAACAGTACTTGTTTTAAATATATCCTATTAAAAGTATTTTCAATCATATTATTTACTTTTTTTTTTTTTTTTACGAACAGGCACTTCATTTGTAACGGTTTGGGCGTTATTTCTTCCTAAAGTACAACATAGCTTATACTTTCATAGAAATAAAAAACCATCAGAAAATGGTAAATCGGATTATCAGATCAATGAGACTAACATCAACGACAATACACCAGTGAGTTACTGAATAACACTTAAGAACATATCTAGTAGTATAGTTATTTTAGCGAGACCTTGTGGTTAGGTTAGAATTAAATAAGACATTGTCTGATGACATTTCCAGACAACACTATAAGAAGTGGGAAAAATAGGGGTCATTTAAATATAATATTAAAATTAATAATATTATTTTTGGAATCAGGGTTGCATGGATAACTAACATATGAGAGTAGAGAGAGTAGATTTATATTGCTATTTAATGCTGGTATATACTATACCATAGTACATTATAGTATGGTACCTATATAATCGTATATTGATAATACGTTTAAATAAACGGGATTATATATTATTTTAGTATTATGAAAAACTTTTCAGATTATATTCGAAATAAAATATTTAATTTACGATTGTTTATAGTTATAACGTATTATAAATAATTTACTGTTGTAAATCTTTGGCTTTCGCTAAAGATAGATAATTAAACAATAATTGATAGGTAACTGAAAAAAATGATTTAAAAAAGAATGTACTCTAAATTTCAATAAATTATAATATTACATAACATTAAATAATATATATTTGAAATTAGAGTTTTGTATCCATCGGCTAGAGAACGATCGTCTGGTTCACCGTTGGTACCATTCTGTGAACTTTAAAAGAATAGTTTCTTGGGCTAATATGCAGTCCACGGTCGTAGGTAAGCTCTTGCATGCATAGGCGTGCGTACAGATGAAGGGTGTGCCTGACATCTCCCGATGTATTGTAAATAGGACCCTGTAGTTTAAGTGTAAGAGTAAGGGGCCTGGGGCCTGTATTTTAACTAATGTTACTCAAATTAAATGTAATTTATTCTAAAATATTTGGTAAAAAATAAATAATGTTTCATAATAGAAAAAATAAAGCATAATTTTCTGAATTTTCGTGCAAAAACTTATGATTATAATATAACACTTATAATTTACTACAAAAGTGCAAATCGTAAAATAATTGAAATTATCTGAGAAAAATATACGAGATCCAAGGAAAATATATTTACTGAGACTAATATAATACAATATTAAATAAAAATTAAAGTTATGTTGATATAATTTGTACATTATAATTTATTAAATATATCTATACGTTTTGTTAAGATAGGACCCAAAAGTATTGTAAACACCCCCCGAAATACAGGTCTATTCACACCTATGCTTTTGCGTGACATCAGAACCCAGACGTAGACTGATATAGTAGATTCAGGATAATTCGTTATCCGAAAAATATGATAATAATTTTTAATTTTAGCACAAATGAATGTTTAAATTTATATTTGTTTTTTTTTTTTATGTGGGATACTATTTGAATAAGACAGTACATATCTAGTAATATAAAATCGATTGTAAGTATTTTGTGTAGGGCGATTTCGATTAAAATTGTTTATTAGATAATTAGAACCATTATTCAGTAGATAACACATAACATTTTTTGAATTAAAATCATTAATTAAATTCGACTACTATACCAATAATACTAGTAGTCTATTATGAAATCAATAATAATACCAACATTTATTAAAGTACACAATAAATATTGTGACCAACGAAAATTCATTTGAATTTCGTGTAGCATTATTAATAATTAAAAATAATACAACTGAATTTCTTAAATGAAAAACTAAAATCAATTTACTTTATACTTGTCCAGTAATTTTAATTATAATTTTTTATTAAATTGCGGGATGGATTTATAAGCAAATGTTTAATTTTTGATACGTTTGCAATTTTTTTTTCACCTATATAGGAATATGTTAATTATTTGCTATATAATTTATAATTAAATAATTAGCTAATAATTATATTTGTTAAATGTTAAATAAATTTGGTTTATTACCCTAAACGGTGTAATGAGAAGACGGATCCCGCTTAATAATTATATACATAACAATTATTGTTATGTATATATTTCGTTATCATAAATATGTTTTCATCACGGTATTTGATGAATATTTATTTTTATAAGACTTCAGTATAACATGGTTAAAATAGAGGGCTACGTGGCTACATTCTACAGTTATTAAAATTGAAATAAAATTAATTTTCGGATGGCCGCCTACCGATATCATTTTCTTAGTGAGTCTTGTTTTTCCACACTTTTGCTAATAAAAAGCAAACAGAAATTGGATGTGCAAAATGATATGCATTGCACATTGTCAAAAATCCCCTCGATCAATAATCCCCACGGGTATGGCCTTGGTAAAAAAAAACAATCTTAAATTTTTCATTAAATTTTTTTATTTATAATATTTAGTAAAAAGATGTATAAAACTGTATTAAAAAATATTATTAATTAGTTCATTTATATTTTATTTATAAAATTATGAAAAAATATATGTTATTATGATTATTTATAATTTATATTATATTTAGTTATTTTGTATCACTAAAACAAAAATAAGGACATTTTTTAAAGGAGGTGGCGTGAGAATTTTCAAAATTTTCAAGAAGTGCATAGTAAAAAAAGGTTGGGAACCACTGTTCTATACATAGACCTATTAACCTATTATTGTTAATGGGTCTATGGTTCTATGGATTAGAAAATTATAATAATTTTTACAGTTAAAAATTGAAACTATTGTTATTAATATTTTAGACAATATAATTGTATGCATCGTATCATGCAATTATTATAAATGACCAGCTATGTTACTAGATGTTAATGTGTTTATAATGTTGACAGAAATACTCCATAGTAAATCGGTGAAACAAAAAATAATTATTTACAATCTCTGTAATTCACTATACTATACATTATAATACATAATTCATATTATTTAATTATATGTTGATTAAGACTTTTTTAGTATACATTTTTATAGTTTTAGTTGATTTATTATTTGTGACACAATTTATTTATAGAATGATGTTAGTAAAACTTCAAAAGTTGATAAGCTTAGAGAAGTTAAACAGATTATTATTAACGATTTTCATTCTGCATACAGTAATACGTATGTATTGAAAAAATGTTTTTGGTGGATAGTTGCCGTTACTGGACATCTTATAGTAAGTTGAATTACATTTTATTAACACATTTTTACGTTAAAACACAGTATTTTTTATTAGGTCGGGACGTACATTCAAGTTTTATGGGAGGACGTGAACAGTAACAAAGATGATTTGATGAATGGTGCTGTGGAATCTATGCATACTCTTTGTGGTTTAACACTTAATTCATTATTTTATTTGGAAATTAATTGTTTATAAAATAATTATTTAATGTTGATAAATGTTAATCATAGGTGCAACAGGTGCATATGCAGTTGGTCACATAAATTACGATTGGAAAAAATTTGGTGATATTATATTTACTATTGGATCATTTGTTTTGGCCATATTACTATTTGTAATTTATTATTGTGATACGTTATGGGTATTATACGTTTTATATATAGCCTACGGTACTCTATATCAGATTTTGTTGACTATCACTACGTAAGAAATAATTTTATTGTTGATATTTTCTTTTTGGTGCATGTTTCTATTAATGTTCATAAATTGCAGTCAACGATACACATAGGTAGATAAAAACGTTTTGGGTACACACAAAATAAACGATCATCTCGACTCAGGAGCACTATAGATAATTATAAATCAAATAATATACTTATGCATAACGACAATATAAACAACTATTTAGGTACTTTATGAGTAGGGAATATATCAGTTTTACCCTCAGCTAAATTAATGAAAAGTCGTATTCGGGGTTTTAAAAATAGCCTGTATTAATGTTAAATAATGTTAAAAAAAGTTGCCTATCTTATTTTGTGCATATTTTTCATGTTCACTAAAGTAAAATAATAAGCATTAATATATTTTTATATCCCGAAATAATCACAGGTTATTATAATAAACATCTTTAGTGGAACAAAAGAGAAATATTTCAATAATTAAATTTTTTATTGCTTATTACATAATTTTTACAATTATATTGATATTTTACATATTAAATTATTTATCTGTTCTGTTATTTGGACTTGCATATTTTTTCTTATATTTATGAATAAAAAATGAATCAGCTTTCACATTTTTAATAACTTATAACAATATGCTATAACTTTATGCTTAAATATTAAATTTGCATGTAAATCGTAATGTTATCATTATTTTATTAAATAAAATATATGGTTTTAGGTCTGAAGTTGCAAAATACATAAAACCCGACAGCTACGGGCTAATATTTGGTTTCAATTTGTTCGTTTCATTGTTTTTAATCTCAATTTTTACATTATTATTTATCCAAGGATTTATTGTTTCTATAGGAACAAAAAACCAGGTAATTATATTATGCGAAAGAACAAAACAGTGGCACAGAGTTTTTTAATTTTTGGTATGGATTTCTAATAATCCGTAAAAAGAGAGATGATAGGATAAGTAACATTCATATACGTTCAATGTTTAATTTTTATCGCATTTTCATAGAGTAGAACTCTACTCAGTATCAATCCATTAACACGCTTATTCGGACAAATCGTATTATATAAATTATTTGCATTTGAATAGGCAGATATTTTAAGCCACAGTGCGATTGCCATAATTTATAATATATGAATAAAAATGACTAATTCATTTTTTGATTTGTTATATTTCTAGATACTAACAGTTTCCCTGGTATTTACTTCGATGTCTATATTATATCTCATCATGGTTATTAGAAAATTGAAAAAATAAGTATACGATCATACGGAATAAGAAATAAAAAAATGAGTCATCCTAAATTATATATTGAGTATTAACTTATGTCATATAAGTATTATGTCTTGACTTATTTTAATTTATCAATCAAATAGGTAAATCACAACTATATTATTATTGCTGTATATATTTTAGATGATTAATTTTGTACTTAACGTAATAATGTGTAAAAAGCAGAATAATATTTTTTATATTTGTTAACTAGATAATATTTATTTTAGTTTAAAATATTTTTATATTTAAATTTAAAAATCAATTTTTCTCAACAATTAAATGAAAATTGTGATATGAGACTGGGTGTCATTGTCAAGGGTGGGTTCTTATTTCGTGCTTCGCTCTCCTCAAAAAATTGTAATTGGATACCAAATCTAATAATTATAATATTAGGTATCAGTTTTAGGTTGAAATCGTCATAGTAATTTTTAAAATGTTATGAAATTATAAATGACTTTCGAGGAATTTTCGCCGACGAAAATGGGGTGTATAAAAAGTAGATTACAAAGTAGAATAGTTGATATGTACATTAAAATTGGGTGATGTGAATTTTAAAATGAATTCAGTATTTTAGTTTAAATAATTAACCTATTATTTGATTCTTATTATAATTAAAATTCTGGGTTATATTTTTTGTTGAATGACTTCCGTAAAACATTTTCTTTTTTTAATTTATGGAAAAATTATTTAAAATTAAAAAAAGAAAGTAAAAAAATTAAATTTTTTTCCATTTAATTAAAAAAATTAAAGTATGTCAAATATATTCGAGCATGTTGAAAGGAGTCTAACTAATTTTCTGAATATCTCTTAAACATTAATTATTTGCTCCTTTTATCCATGTTTTTTTCTATATTTATTAATTATGATTTTAAGTGTTTGGAGATGGTGTATATTTTGGTCCGTTTGGACGAAGTTACGTTTGGATATATCGATATTCTAGAATCATAAGTGAAGTTATTGCTTGATGTAACTAGATCATCATTCGTTTTAAGAGTTCGATTCGCCTTGATAATATTAATTTATATAATTCGTGATTTAGGACATATATGTTTTCTGTAAAAAAATAATATGTGTCATATGTATAATTTATTGGTATTATTGCATTTCTCGGAAACTCGTGATTGTGCCATAGATAAAAATAGGTGATGATAAATTATGACTGATGATCGTCATTAAAAACAAGAGGTCATCGGCGGTCAACACATATAATACCTAAATAATAAACCCGGGCTGGATTTAACCATTGTGCCGTTTTATGCATTAAACAATTTGCCGCCTTTTAATATAAATATTTTTCTAGTCTAAAAAATGTTATTAAAGCATACAATTATAGTTATTTCCTTTATTACTTACAATTTTAACGATGTAAAATAAAAATATACATTCATATGAAAAACTTAATTATAAAAATGATATATTAAGTTCATTTCTATTATTTACTTCTTTGGCATAAACTTGTTCTATCATAAAATCCCATAAGAAAAAGTCACATGGTTTAAAATCAGGACTTCGTGGTGGCCATATTATATCTGGGCTATATTGAGCATTGTTTCCAACTCCTCTACCTATAAGTTTGTCAGAGAAAAGATTATGCAATTATTGTCGGACTGCATTTGTATGATAAGGAGGTGCACCGTCTAACATAAACCACATTGATCTTGTTCTTTCAATAGTAAGTTCTCTAATAGTACCGGAAGATCATACATAATAAAATGTAAAAATCTCTGAGCGTTCAATCTAGCCGGCAATTCATAAATTTTGTAAATACATAAATAATAAAATACGTAATTTAAAACTCTATTAACCCTAATTTTGTTATTATTTCATCATTGTTATAATTCGACAATGTTAAAGCTGTTTTATTTAATTATGTGTGTTAACTGTCAACAAACTACTATCACTACTGTTTATCTTAACATGTTCTCATACGATTCGATGTGTCACACGACTTTTTTTTTAGTCGGCGACTCGAGCGTGAAAAACGTGCGACAAGCCCAAAAACAGTGTGACGTCTCGATTCGTATGAGAATTTAGGAAAAAATACAACTTAAGTGTTTATTTTTATATTTACGGTAATGTACTAAAAATAAATTGAATAAACCAAGATTTTGGAAATTGAAAAAAAATTTACTTTGGGCCATCACAGTGAGTATGCGTATGCTAGTGTCCTCGTCCATTCCAGAAACAACCTGTATGTATATATATATATATATATATATATATATATATTTATACCCAAATTTAATTTATGAATAGTTTTTTTCTCAAATATCGGAATAACTGTAAATAACAAAAACGTTGTAAGTTCTACAGCGAACTTTTTCACAAAATTCGGGCTTTTTTTAATAGTAGATTATTCCTTCTTGAAAAGTACTTCATTAGAATAAGGTTTTTCTTTATTTGTAGTATTCTCCCTACTATGAATCAATATTTACGTATATAAAAAGTTGTTGTTAAAGAAGATATAAATTATCAATGAAAATATGTTTATTTATATGTAAACTGACGCACTTACCCCGATATTATGTGATGCACATTCCCTGTATAATGTTTGTACGGGATAAATGCATCATTGAATATTAAAACCATTCAAATACGGAATATAATCAAAATCACAACAAAAACATATAGTACTTATAATTTTAGTTTAAACTAACTTGAAATTATTCATTTTTATATGATTTTCAAATAAACATAAACAGTGGCGGATCTAGGATTATCTCATGGTGAGAGGGGAGGGGTTGATATAGAATATTTCCGTACTTAATATGTATATGTATATAAACTTTATTCTATTAAATTTACAAAACAAGATTTAATTTTCTTGATGACCGTGCCATTACTCTATGGCTGTATCCCGAATCATGATATAAGCATAATAAACCTACGTTATATCAGAAACAACACTTATTCTCATTTACAAAAGCAGTCTGTCGAATATCATCGCACCGCTTCGGGTATTAGATAAATTTTTATGGCGAGTTCAAACGTGAACTCAAAAAATACAAATAGACGTAAAGTAATAATAAAATAATAATATTTGTTGTATATATATTAAGAGTATTCTAAGAGTATTCTTTGTTTAACGATCTGCCGATAATCAATCTTCTTATTTCGCTGGTCCCCGCACCGATTTCATATAGCTTAGCATCTCTTAGAAATCTACCTGATGCGTAATCGTTAATGTAGCCATTTCCACCTACGGAATCATTGAAAATTTGTATTTATGTGTGTTGTTATTGTTTTATTATGTACGCAAAGCGCGAAAATATGTAACATTTATTTATTTTACCATCATAGCCTACCCTTCATGACAATACACTCTGTTATTATAATATGATATGCGATTACCTAAACATTGAATGGTATCCAATGCCACTTTGACGGAATTCTCGGCCGCAAAAAGTAACACTCCGGCACAATCTTTGCTGCACACGTGCCCCTTATCACAAGCTCTACTAACATTGTATAAATAATTTCTACTGGCGCTTAACGCGGTGTACATGTCAGCAATTTTCCCCTGAAAACACGATACATGAACTAACATCTTTATATTTAGATATGTAAGTACATACATTTGACTTTTTATGTTACTCATAATAGTTATTAGCTACACACACATACGCGCGCGCGACTATTAGCCGACGTAAATTATTTTCATACTCGTTGGTTTTAATATAGGATTACGCAAATTTATCGTATTCTTACTTGAATTAATTGAAATTCACCAATTTTAGTATTAAATTGTTCTCTAGAATGTACGTAATCAAAGGTTAGGTCTATGCACGCTTGCATTAATCTGAAACGGACATATTGTTTAAAACAAAATTCACGTAATAAATTAAAGTACATTATTATTTCTGATTCATTAAGGTATAAATTAATTGATTTTACCCAACAGGTCCTGCAGCAATCACTAGCCTTTCTAAGTCTAATCCAGACATTAGAACGTACACCCCTTTATTTTCTCCTCCCAATAAATTTTCAACTGGAATAAAAGTTTCCATTAATAACAGATTTTCACATCATGATTTTAAAACATAATATACAGAAACATTTTGTCAAATTTGTACTTATTTTGTAATCGCAAATGTATAAGTTATTTAGGTTGTTAACTCCAAATGATTCATCGCTAAGATAAGTCTAGTAGGTATCGAAAAATGTACTTACAAAAATAACAAAATTATCCAGAAAAAAGTACCATAAGTACTCATGAGCAAGAACCTACTGTATTTTTTATTCAATATTTATACATTTATTTTCAAATTAACATTTTGATTATTATCTCCATCAAGAATGTATTTAAAAACAAAATTTATTCCGAACGCTAATCCATTTGAAATTTAAAATTTTTCATATATTAAAATTATACATTTTAGTTAAGTATAAATTATTATAAAGTCAATAAGATATTTATTATATTCATTTTAATAATTCAAATTTTAGTATTAATAATATCATAATTATTAATTTATTATAAAAAATAAATAATAAATAATATTCAAAAGCATATAAAAAAAATCATGAGTATAAATAATATATCCGGCTCATATATACCTCATATATTACCTATTATATATATTTATACTTACCAGGTACCTTGCAATCTTGAAAAATTAGTTCACACGTGTTTGAACCTCTCATACCTAGTTTGTCAAGTTTAGGACCAGTGGAGAACCCTTCAAACGATTTCTCAATTAAAAATGCGGAAATGCCATGTTGTTGTTTAGCATCAGGGTTTGTTCTAGCATAGACCTAGAAAACATTATGTAACATTCATTATGATAAGTTCAAACATACAAATACATATATATATATATATATATACGTATGTGTGTATAAAAACATATTATATTATTTAGATGAATATATATTTTAAATTAAAATTTATCAATTAAATATTTGTATGCTGTATTACATATTCATTATTACAAACACACCACTAGAACGTCAGCGTCTGGTCCATTTGTGATCCAAAATTTACTACCATTTAGTATATAATGTGATCCTTTTCGTTCTGCTTTCAATTTCATCGAGACAACGTCAGAACCTGAACCCGGTTCTGACATAGCCAAAGCTCCAACAGCTTCACCTCTACATAACTGTAAATCAAAAGAAAGTATATACATTATATATAAGGCGTATATTTTCAGATTGTAGAGGAAAAATTAGTACACACTACACAATGTGTAAAAAAAGTTAAGTTTTCTTAGAACTAATAAAATAAAAAAAATTATTAAAAACAATTAAAACATTAGCATTTACTAAAAATATATTTCAAAGAATTCAAATAATTCTACCAGAAAATAATGCGTCATAATTTAGTAAGAAATAAAATTTTTTTACTGTGCTCTATCTATATTTTCTATTATGTAGTATGACAATAAACTACATTATATTTACTGAAAACATAATACGAACTCGAGGTAAATATTTTGCTTTCTGTTCTAAAGTTCCATTTAATCGAATTTGGTTCATACAAAGATTTGTGTTGGCTACGTAACTCAGCCCTACAGAACCACTAGCTCGAGAGATTTCTTCCAAAGCAATGACATGATCGGTATAACTGCCTCCTGTACCTTCGAATTCCGTTGGAATAGTGATGCCTAAGAGACCAAGTGATCCTAGTTCACGCCAGCATTTCTGTAAATTAAATTATTAAATTAAATTATTCATAATTTTATATGATTTACTTGTTTTAATTTTTTTTCAATAATAAAATACTACAACTAGGTATAGCGAATAGTGTTTACTAGAAAAACAATTTAACGAATTGTCTTTATTATAATACTGCAAATGTCCACATAATATAATATAATATATATATATTATTAATTATATTTAGTTTTGTGTACTATATATTAGTTATATATATATATATTAATACATAGGGTCGAAAAATTCAATATTAATTACCAAATTAGAATGTTTCTTTGGAAATGCGAAACTATCAAAAAGGAAAATGCCTTGAAACGATTTTGGTTTCAAAGACTGATTGTGTTATTAGTGTATTCTATTTGGTCTGGTTATAAAAACAGTCGTTCAATGACATAGGGCAGCCCTAAACTAAATTTATGCTAACGTTATTTCTGCTATTTGGCTTCCTATATAAATAGCTTATGAATACTTATCGATTAAATACCAATAATTTGCGGATTTCATTGAAAAACATGCTTAACCCATGAGTTTGACATGAAATTCGAATGAGCCATATTCTTATTGGAGCAATTAAGGAGTATTATATTAATAAACGAATACTACCAGTTTGTATTATTATCAACATGATTAAATAAAAGCATGAGTTACAGGTGTTGGGTAAGATACAGGGACGAGGGATTGTTATAAGAAAATTGCGCATATAAATTTAAAATATAATGTACTGTTAGTTTCGAAAAACGATTCCGATCGAAGGAATTTGAGTGGATCAGCTACTATTTAAAAATATATAAATATATAGTATATAGGTATTAGTATAAGTATCAATAAATTTCGTAATAACTTTATTTAAATCAATCCAAAAAAAAAAAATTCCAAATAATTGTAGCTATTGGACGTTGATTTAGTTAATACAATCTTAAAAGTTAAAATAATTATTATTAGAATTGAATATTTATATAAGTTTCTACTTACCTACTTATCAGTGATGGGAATTATTCGACCATTCGAGTATCAGTATTCGATGTTATAATACAATACGTAATAAAAATTATTCGTTAAGTTTTCGCATAACACAAAACGTTTAATAATAATAGGTATTGTAGCATCGAATATACATAACATCTCTACTACCTATTCTCATATAATATATTATGTTTACTTACTCTCAAGTCATTAAACGAATTTGTCTTATCTATTTCAGCTGCTTTTGGCGCTATTTCTCTCTGCGCATAGTCAAACACCGTTTTACGTAACTGAAAACAACCAACAAATTATTAACAGTTTACCTAACTATGAAGTTTAAATATTTTGAGTATTTGCAGAATAACACTAAATATATAGATTTTATAGTATAGTTTATACTACTTATAAGTTTATAGTATATTGCATACAATGCCGCAACTACATTAATTTAGGCCCGTGTGTAAATAAAATGAATGCTTCCCTTCTCGCAGATCTGCAGAAAAACTACCTTTAATCAATTGTAACTAAACTATTTTGAATTTCGATAATACACACCTCAAAAAAAAAAAAAACGTTGATGTATGATAATGTGTATAAAAAAAAAAAAAAAATCGTTCAATCTCAATTAATTATTATTATTACAAAATGGTATTATTTTTATTATTTCTACATATTTTTTAAATATTATGATTGGTTCCTATTATAGGCTGGAGCCATTGGCCTGTTTGTTACACCCGGTTATTGCGGCACTGATTGTATATAATTAAAGCATATATTGAAAATTCACTAATTATCTACATTTATTTACATAAATATGCCTTATTTTTAACCTTAATTTACTAATAAAAATAGACAAATCCATAATTATCAAAAATGAAATCTAGTTTTTTAAATTTAAAAATATAGATTCATTTTTAACTTTCAGGTTATTAAAAATGTTTGTTTTTGTAAAAATGTATATACACTGCAACTGTATCAGTTATGAACTTATAACATATAACGTAACTAATATAATTGGCCATTTGTTAAATTTGGTAACTTTAGTATAACACTACTACGTATTTCTATTACATAGATACATGATTGTTCTATATTTGATTATTTTATGATTTGTAACTTATATTGATAATTACAAGTCACAAATTTACTAGTTTACTTTCGATGTCAAATTAGTTTAAAATTAAATATATCTAAATTTTCTCAATAAAATAGCATTTCTAAATAATGTATTATATTAATATATTATATATTTCAAATTCAAGACTAAATAATGATTGTAGATTTGTTAAAAAGTGTAATGTTACATTATTAACAATTAAATATTAAGTTTAATATTAATAAATGAATTTATTTTACCTTGAGAAATCATTTATTATAATTATTTATTTATATATTTTACCTGGATTTGTTCATCATTTAGATTGAATAAAGTATCATCAATTGGATAGTAAGATAAACATCTTCGAGCTATTGTTCGATGGAAAGTCTTTGTGAACAAGGAACTACCAATTCGACAAACTGAAATATTCATATTTATTTAAATAAAATGTATTTAAAAAATTATAATTACACAAATATAATTAAATTTTAATTTAATAGAAATTTAATATTATTAATATTCTCTAAAATAATTTTCATCAAGAATAGGTACAGTTCAAAACGTGAATTTTATACTGAAAATATTTAACTATTGTACCTACTACTATTTATCATAATAAACTTTAATAATAATAATTAGTGTAATAGGTACATAGAGAGGTGGAAGATACGTGAACATTTTTCATTCACTGATATGATGTAATTAATTAGTGTTATAAGTTATGTTGATGTTGCTTTTATAGTAGTTTGTATCATAATTCAGCATCATTGATTTATATACTTTATTACTTGTACTTACGTAATATGTACCTACAAACATTCTTGTTAATAAAGAAAAAAATATTATTTTATTATGATGAAGTAAATTTGTAAAAATGTAAGCATTATTAATATCTTGTTGATTTGACTTAGATATTACATAATCACAAGTTGCAACCCTAGTGTAAATAACAGAATATTAATTTATATTATTATATATTAATATATTTATATAATTTATATTAATAAAATATTAATTTATTTGTTCTTAGAAATGTTTTACATTTAGATAGATTGAATTTTAAAATCTTAGTTTAGATTAAGAACCAGTAATAAAAAGTTCATCTCATTCTTTATGCTGTTCGTAGGTCTCTTCATTCCTAATATCTTTACACAAGTCATGAAGCCCTTTGTAATATCAATCATATTTTATTCGAATACCCGGCTGTAAATGAAGCTAGGGAAAAACTTGGAACAGGTATGGGAAAGATTGGGATTGAGAACGTGATCAAATTTTAAATTATTTTTCTCCTTCGATAATATCTATTCTCCTAAAATCTTTAGAGGAATCAGGATTCTCAATTAATTAAGTCAACCATTTTTTTTCTGCATTTTTAAAATGTATATTGTAATATTTTATTTGTTTGCAGGGCCGCATTTAGGGGTGGGCACTGGCTACAACTGCCTTGGGCGCTAGTTTTTTGGGGGCGCCAAAATGTTGTGGTCGGAAATTTGCTTACTTGTGAATTATTGAACTTTTAAAATTATTTTGAAATTATTATTTTTTTTTGTTTTTAATAATAGTATCATAAATTGATGTTAATGTATTATGCTGTTTGGAATTTAAACAACTATGAACTAATTTTTCTATAGTAATATAGCTATCAACGATCCAGAATATTATTAATATACCTAATATTAGTTCCCAAATTTGTTGTGATAATGTCAATAAACATAAGTTATTTATAATAATACGGCGTATTATGTTATCGCGTGCGGCGTGCGGTAGCGTGCCTACTAAATAAAAATAGCATTGATTTTAGAATATCTAAAACAGTGGTTCTTAACGGGGACGATATCACCCCCTTGTGGGTATTTCGGTTTCTCTGGGGTCGATACTTTTGAAGAGTCGCTGAGGGGGCGGTGAGCTTTTTCAAACTCGGAGATTAAAAATAATATTAATAAATCGTCGAGGAAGTATTTGATACAAGTTTGATCACTGATACCAAATGGTCGTCGATTTTTCAAACGGTGGAGGAATATTTTACCAGAAAAAATGTCCCCTTGACTAATATTATTGCATGCGCAATGGATGGCACTTCTTCAATGACCGGTCGTCATGTTAGATTCATAGCCCACCTAAAAAAAGCCATCCCAGGTATTATTTGCGTTAATTTTGTTATACATCGCCAACATTTAAGTTTCCCGTCATCGTATCTAGTTGAAAAAGAATTCAGAGTTATTGTTCAGCTTTTGACTAAACAAAGAAATCGGTTGGACATTTACAACAAAGGTGATCTACGTTTAGCTTTGATCAATATCGAACTAGACATACTCACATTAGCAATTACTCATTAGGCTCAGGGCAATCATTGATGGGCATCATTTTTATATTTATAATTTTTTTTTCAAAGTTAAGTAAAATCTTTTTGTAAAGTAAAGTCAAATTGTATTGTTAAGTGGAGTAAAATATAACCATTACTATTATCTTAAAATAAAAATTTTTATTTTAATTTAGTATACTGATGAATAAATAAATATATACCTATATATATATATATATATATATATATATATATATATATATATTTATATTTATAGTAAGAAAATTTAATTTTAAATAAGGGGGGCGTTAGCAGTAAGTTATTACGATAAAGGGGTGCTGAAATAAAAAAAGTTAAGAACCACTGATTTAAAAGGTTCATGAGGATTTATCTCCTATATTTTCCGTGGGTAAGTCCCTTAGAGGGGCGCCAATTTTTTTTTGTGCCGGGGCGAAAAATGTCTAAATGCGACACTGTTTGCTTATACTTATAATCGTTTGTGTTTTTATATTTGTAAATTTGTATTATATATAATATTCGTAGTTTATGGATTTAATTGTTATTCAATCGTTCTTAGTTATATTTCATGTATGATTGAATAATGATCAACATCAGGTTTCTCAACTTTCAATAATTAATTATTATAATTAATGCTATAATACAAATGTTATAGGAATACTTCACATATATAATTAGGAAATAATATCAAATTTTAATTACTACGTGTATATATTGTTTATACTAGATTCAATAATATGCATGTACAAATGTTACATATTATGTATAGCTTTATATTTTATTATATTAATATAACGTGAAGGTGTTAACTTATTGAAAAAGGAAATACTTAAATCAATGACTATAATAATTTATTTTTATTTATTTATTTATTAATTAATTAATTTATTAAATAAATAAATAAATAAATAACACTATATAGATACATGTCAATGTATATATTTAAATAGTATGTACAATATTATTTTAGTTAGTCTAATTAGTGTTTATTTACTGGTTAGGTGAAGCATTTACTGTTTCTAAAATAAAATACAAGTTATAGAATAATATACATTTAATTATATTGAATAAGGTCATTTATAATGGTTTCTACTAGAAACATGTATAGAAACTTTCTATACACATTGAACGCAATTATTATTGATCATAAGTCAGGAACATATATGAACTACATATATTGATTTTAAACTGTTCCCCCCTTATGATCAATAATAATTGCGTTCAATGTATATATATATATATATATATATAATACTAGCTAACTTGACAAACGTTGTTTTGTTATATAAATTATTTCTAGAGAATATTTTGTTAGAAAAAAATAACTAAATTTAATAAAAGTGTATAAGGATGTGGTATATAAGTGGAAGAGGTATGGAGTACTGCGAATGGTAACGAAATATAAAAATGAAAAAACATCAAACATTTATTTTTTTTAATAATTTATTAAAATTGATTCTTTAAATTTATATACATCGCTAATTATGACAATATTAGTAAATTATTAATTATTAATAAATATTATTATCTTAATGAAACAGAGTGTACAATATTTTTTGTCATCCTATCTTTCGCCAACACAAACAAACTGGATGGTTTGCCTACTCGAGAGTACGCATAATTGTCCGTGTGAAAAACATGATGTGCTCAATTCTAAGCCATAGGCAGACATCGTTTGGTCTTGAAACTTATTGATGGTCATTGCAAATGCCAATCTAATTGGAAATTGAAGGCGTTTAAATTAAATTCGCACATCTGTTGGTAGTGTTAATAATTAATATCCTGTCTTATTAATTTTTTCGTAATCAACTAATTGAATTACTTTTATTTGTGAGTTTTGTACAATGCTAGCAAGATACAGAGAAGCTTCTTTAGACCGTAAAATACGTAGGGTTAGGTTACAAGCATGCAAAATACAAGAGCCCAAATAACAGAAGACCAAATCTAGCAAGATAATACTAATGTGCATGTTCACATGGCGCGATTGCGTCAAGCTGCATCAGAAGATGCATGCGCTGAATGAAATGAACTAAGAAGATTAGAACAAGGGCAAGCACGCCGTTATACAGTTAGCAGACGCACAGCAAGGGACCGACAGCGCCAACAGGTGCACCGATTATTTACATAATACATCGATTACCGATTTTTAGGTTGTTACAGTAGGTATTTAAAAAAAGGAGCGGTAAACACTGAGCGTGCCTCAGGGCGCCAAGAAGGTTAATCCGCCACTGATTTAACAATAAATATAATCGTGTTCTAAAATATACTTTATAGTGCGGGCTGTCGGTTATAACCCCCCAAGATACGTCACTGCTGAAAAGTAACCACTTAATAGATGAAATTGAAGTAATAAATTGCGAGCGAAGCAAGCGACTTTATGATGATTAAATTAACAATATAATAATTCAATCATGTAACCTGTCATTATTTTGCTCTAATTTTTTGGGTGATGACTGCGATGGTGCTAGAGTTTGCGAGGCCCTGGATAAAATAAATGTTGGATCTTATAATTTATATTAATAAAATATTTTAAGTTCAGTTAAATCAGAACCGCGGGGTTTTAATTATAATTTAAGGCGCGGGACCCTGGGCAACTGCCCCTATTGCTCACCCCCTCACACCGTCGTAAGGTGGTGATATTAACAAATTTTTATACTTTGCCCCACCAAATAAAATACAAGTCGGCGCCACTGGTTGTCAGTCACCAACAATCATGAGTAAAAAAAATTCTACCGCTGTAAATAGAATAATCGATAGGTACCAATACTATTAGTTATATAATATGGCAATATGGCTCACATCAATAGTTAATGATTTAAATCAAATTATATTTATATTATAGGCTTATTTAGTCTAATTTTAAAAATAATATAAATTACTTGAATTGTTATAATAGTTTAATATTTATTAGCCCTTAATTTATTAAATTCAACACAAGCCTCGATAGCGCAGTAGGTAGCGCGTAAGTCTCATAATCTTAAGGTCGTGAGTTCGATCCTCACTCGGGGCAAGTAAATTTTTTGGGATTGTACTTTTTTGGAGATTAACTTCTATATAATTATATTATTTATTGTCGTTTAAGATATTATTATTTTATGGACATTTAATTTTTATATAAATTTCAACAATGTTAATTTTATTTGTGTAAAAATATGAATAGTAAGAACTTGAAATATAAATTGGATTACTTGTAAAATTATAATTCATAGTTTTTAACAATTTAACATATTTTATAAGTTCATATTCAATTATTCAATTAAATAAATCAACAGGGGTTTACGCCGTTTAATCAACGCAAAAATAGATATACCGATCACTGATACGTAAACACAAATAAAAATTATTATATGAATTTTTCTATTTAGCAATAAAATTTAGTTCATTTATTTTTGAACTGTACAAGCAACTGAACAAATAACCATGCATTGTGTTATTATTTTATCTATCTATTTATTTGATCAATACCGGGTTAACGAATATGCTGCATGGAGGTAGATTTTAAAATGCAGCTATTTACAAACCCAGGAGCGTACCCAGGAACTTTTTATGGGGGGAGGTCCAACATTTTTATTTTATCTGATAATGGGAAATTAAAATACACTATATACCATTATTATACTATTTACTATTAAATCGTTGAGTATGTAGAAAGAAATTTTAATGGGGGGGTTTGGACCCGAACCCCCCCCTGGGTACGCCTTTGTACAAACCTATTATACCATTGAACCCATCATAAAAAAAATGATATAAATAACAATATCGTTAAAATTGTTCAATTGATCTATATTAAACATGGTAATAATAAACTGTAACATCGTTAGTTATAATATAGTAGAACAATTAGTATTTAGTATAAAATATTCAGCACCATTCAAATTTATTCGTTTTCTACTCATATTAATTAAAGAAAAACCGCTATTAGAAAATATTAAGCTCGTTTGCTTTTCAGTCAATATGACTTGACACTTGACGAGACAACGACTACAATTTACAAGGTTAGAAAGATGAATAGACATAAATGAATAATAATAAAAAATGCTTGCTATTGTAAAAATAAATCATTTAAAACTTACGTTATAAATTTAATTGACCTTTTGATTATAAATAGGGTTAGGATTTATAGACAATAAAAAATTGTATACTATGAATTTTATTTACCAAAATATGCAAAAATATGCAAAAACAAATTTTTATTTTTTCTAGAATCATTATTTATTATAACTTGTTATTATTACATTAAATATTAGTTTATACTAATATAGTTTAAAAGTCGTAGTAAGGAAATGAAATACCTCTGTATTGTCTTACAATATAAGTACTAAATACCTGCATGGGCCAGGCCCTTAAAATTTAAATCCAGGTCGAGCCAGGCTCTATTTAAATGAAACACGGACCCCGGACCTGGCTTTTAATTTTTTAAATCTATTACGGTCTGAGTCGGGTTTTTTTAGAATGTAAAAACATGTACAAAAATTCAATTTTATTGATAAAACATTTCTTAGGACTGAGTTGGTCTTTGAAAATTACTTTTAAAGCTTTAAGTCCATTTCATAGTTCAACGTTTAAACGTGGCGTTTTTTAATTTGCATTGTTTAAGTTCATACGTGCCGATCGAAAAAACTCATATACACTCTCGTCAGCCCATGCAGGTCTCTAATAAGTACGTCTTAAAATAATGTGTGTATGTTTAATTGTCGAGCTTAATAGTTTACTAAAAGCTCAAATAAAAAATAAATAAATACAGTACACGATATAACATAACGAATGATAAAACTAAATTAAATTAAACTAAAAATAAATTTGTACTCAAAAATTTTGTAGTGCGGATAATTGACGGGCCGGATAATTGACGTGCGGATAATCGACGCTCCACTGTAAATAAAAAAAATAATGTCTGGATAATTATATCGGTCGTCCGATTAAGATTTATGTATGTAGTATATTTACGACGATTCGAAAAATAAATGTTCATTAGATAAATACCATTTAAAATTAACAATAAATTAAAAATAGTTAAATTTTAAGTTTAAAATTTATCAAAATGAACAAGATTTTCAAAAATCTAAAAATATGAAATTATATGCATTATGTTCAAAATATGCAAAATAAAAATGGTTCTATTCAATCGACAATAAGCCATATCGTGGATATACTGAAAACCAATCAATTTGGACTTGAGGAAAAAAACATGCAATTGCATATAAATTATAGCCCTAGTTATAAATTATAACACGGGTATACAACAAATACGATTTTTTGTCACAACTATGTTGTCTAACATGGTTTGTATCAGTGTATTTACGAGTACTGCTGTAAAAATATTGTATATAATTTATACTCAAAAATATAATGATAGTACGAAGGAAAATAGAAAATTCCGAGCGCTATAATAATAATATAGGTAGTCATACTAATAATATGCTGAATGCTCACTTACCTGATAATTCTGGAGTAGACGATATAATATAATATAATATAATAATATTATGTTACTAATATTTATTTTTATACACATTTTTATATGATTAATAATTCTAAAAGAAATTTTAATATACAAGAAAACTTTTAAGTATCCGTTTTTGCCGTTAAGAAACTGCAACTCTTAAAAAATTGCCACCGGGGGCAATTGCCCGCCTTCTTAACTCAGCACTGTGTTTGATATTCTATATTTAATTAAAAATTGGATTAGACATTATAGACTTTATTTTATTAAAAATAAAAATGAACAAATTTTACGTAAAAAAAAAAAAATTGTACCAAGTCACTTATTTGAATTTACCGTTTGGATATAAATGAAATACTTAGGGCTCTTAAAGCGAGTTCTTCGTAATCGGTAACACCATCATATTATTTTTTATTTTTATTTTAATAGTATTATTTTAGTTTTATGGCGTAGGTCCGGGCTTGGCGCGCAGACGGCGGGGAGACGATGTTGGCACGACTGGTTCATCCCTTCCACGAATCATCGCTACCAGTCGATCGTACAGCGGGTTTCGAGGAGAACCGCTTTCGGGCCCACCGGGTGTACAGCCGCACCTCCGCGCAGTAGAGATGGGAATCGTCGGTCGTTTGAACGATTCGAATCATTTGAATCGGATCAGTCTAGTGATTCGATCGAATGATTCGGTAATTTCAGTACTTACGGTCAGTCGTTTAATATTGTTCTTATCATTGGGTGAATCGATTTTCATTAGAATCATTGACTGAGATTGATTATAACAATCGCGAATTCGTAAATAGAAAACGAGCGACCACAATGATAATTATCCCCACCACCGTACGGTAAAAACATATTTTGAAAGTATTTTTACCGTACGTACGAAAGATCAACATCTTATATTCTGCGGTTTCGGTCAGCGTCATGATATACATGTTCGTCGTACGTGGACCGAAAGAAAAGTTTCATTCGAAGCCGGCAAAAGACCCAGAGGTCGATATGACCGAGTACGTCGTACAGATTCGTTCGTCGCGATTCGTTCGTCGCGATCCGCTCGTTCGCGACCGACCCACCACCACCGCGCAGTGATGCAGGGGTACCGTGTTCGGCGTTGCGCACCGATCGCTCAGCAATACCCACTTGTAAGACACTGTTGTCAGTCCTAGTCCATCTGCGGTGGTGCTCACTTCCCGTCCACTCGCCTTTCGCCGTGTTATCGCCGTTGTACGTTGTTCCGCTGTCGCAAGCCGGACCGCCAATTTCGCTACCCGACGACCTCGCGCCGGCCGGCAGCGCAGGTGTGTTCGTCCGGACGGCCTTCTCGCCGCACACGGTAAGTGCACTCGATCGCGGCACGCCGTGTGCGATCGATCCGCGACGGCGCTAATCCCACGCGATTCGTGTTATTATCGCTTTATTTATTTATTCTTTTACATTTTTTTTTAATTTTTTATCGTTTCACAATTCTTAGCGTAAATCGAGTAAACACGTTTTGCCCTCGTCGTGTCGTCCGTCCATTGGTCACCAGGAAATAGGTTCTGAAATGTAGACAAATTTAAGACGTTTACATTTTTTAGGTTTCGACACGTTAGCGCGCACAAGCCATTAAATTGTTTTTGAAAAGCACAGGTGTGAAATATTACCGTCATAACATGTTTCACTAAATACACCGTCTCTATGTGCTCATTACATAAACAGTATCTTAACGTGTACGATGTGAACCTATCGAATTATTTTCATAACTTGTATTACGTACTATATGATATTATTAATATATCATGGTGGTTGCATTAAAGATATTATATTTATTCCTGACGTGATGACTCTGGTTGGCATTGGAATACCACATTACAATAATTTTCCATTATTATCGCCTGCGTTATTTTTAGATCATTGATTTTAATATCCCTTGATATCTATGAAATATAGGTAGGTACTCTATGTACGTACTAAATAGTGTAGAGACTTGTATAGTTTAACAGTTCTATAAAGTCCTATTGTTTTCAATAGGTACTTCGTCTGTTTTCCTCTTATAAGTAAGCTTTTGTAAATAATTAATACTATTAATAATAATAACATAATTAATGTTACTATCTCATAATAATTCTCCAAACAGTATTCATTTGTTGAAACTTAATACTACTATTTATTATCTATACAGTTGATTAGGTATACTTATACTACAATAAAAATTCCTTATTTATTTTTCTAACAATGCATAGTAATTTTATCAACAACATTAATCTGGTAATGATAAATTATGTAATCTTATTTACATAATTCACACTTGCATATTTTGTAGGAATTGTTAACAAACTTTTTCATTCCTTGATAAATTCCTTAAAAATACTATTTCCCCGTTTGTCTATGGTTAAACAGGTTACAGATAAAAAATACAGTTTTAGAAGTATTATAATTTATTTAGTTACATTCATAGATCTACTATTAATTATATTTAGTTTTAAACTGATGTTAACTAATCATTTATTATTTAAAAAAGTAAAGATTTATGTTCAAACAAAACACTACTTAAATTAAATATCTAGTATTCATATTTTAACGAGTTGTTTAAATGAGTTGATTGTTTAGGTATTTTTAATTATTTTTTTTAAATCGATTTTAATATACTTTATTTAAGAATATTTAATAACTGTGTATATTGGTTCAAACAATGATCCTGCTATCTTTATACATATTTTCTTAATTATTTTTTTTGCATAATTCATACACAGTTCAGATTTTTGGAATTTTGTTTACAATACTTGCCTTTCATTTAATATAATAATTAATATTTATAAATTAAATTATTAGAAAATTATATTACCATAATATATTTATATTTGCATTAAGTTCATTGAATTCAAAAAAATTTAAATTAAACAATAATTGTCATTTTTTTATTTTTATTAGGTATAGTTTTTTTTTTACTTATATTAAATTATTAAATAATAGTTTTTGATGTTATGATCTTCAAAAACACAAAAGTAATGTAAATAGGTTACCCACGTAAGTACCCACGTACTTTTAATTTTAGGAAGAAGAAGAACTCTGCCAAATTGTAAATTTATTGCCAAAAATAAAAATATGAAAAGTAATTTAGCTGAATACTTAGCTAAATTGTATTGTACTATACATTTATTCTATTTTAGAAAAGCTATTGAATTACTATTATTGTTTATGTTTTTAAACTAGCTAAAATGTTATATAGTTTTAAAATTTAAAATGTTAATGAATTAATTCTGCAATTAATTAATGATATATTTTTGGTTTGCATTAACATATTTTTTTTGTTGGATAACATTTAGCGTAAATCATTTAGAGCTTTCATGGATGATATTTTCTATGATTGGGAAATGACAGACACATTATTGATAGTATTGGAAATAGGGATCTGAAAATCAAAATAAATCATATTTTAACTCTAGTTGCTAATAAAACTTTCATTTACAGTTAAAATTTTTTATTAATGTTATTATTAATAGTAATTTTTAAAAAGCTATAAGCATATGAAATATTGCATAAATTTTATTTGATTTAAATAGAGTTGTAAAATTGTCATTTCTAACATAAATATTTGTAATTTTTACATTTTTTTTTTCCTTATTTGTTTAGATAAGAGACGAATAAAAAAAAAAAAAAATTGCACATATATATGATATACAATTTTCCAATGTGGCAACAGTTGTTATAGTTCTATTTTTTATTTTTACAGATAGATTTATTTATTAAACTACAGCCACTACAATGAAGGTCATATTCTTTATCTCTATATGTTAAAATTACGTCTTGTAACTACTCATTTCTTGAAGCAGCCATAAAAGCATTAAAATGTGCCGTGATTGGGATATGACTTTCTGAATCGTGTATTGGTATAAATTATTTGAATTAAAAGTGTTTCAAGCTGTTGAACTTATTGCAGTGGTTTGCAGTAAGTTACTATATAATTTTAATTTTTCTTTAATAATAAATTATTCAAAATAAATATATTTTTTTAGAGAATTAGCCAGAGTTTGAATTGTATAAAAATGAAACTAACTACATGTTGTACTGACACACAGATGTTTAATAAACAGGTATAAAATTTTCATTTTTACATTTATAATTTATTCATGATAATGTATTTATTGATTTATGTAAATTTTTTGAGCATTAACTTCTCATTTTTTAACCTTGATCTGTCTCCAAATATAATTTGTTAAAAATACATTGTGTTTTTGATGTTAATTTTCTAAATGTTTCAAAATATTTTCTAATTGTTAAAATTATTATTATTATTAAATTGATTTGGCTTCTTGAAATGTAAACTTTTATGTTTATATATAGGGATATTTATGGTAATGGTATTGGTATTACTTATTTTATATTTATTAAAACATTTTTTTAGATAGAATTGAAGTTTGAGATGTTATTAGAAGAATGTAATTCAGAAAAGTTAATTTTGATTGGTACACCATTGGAAAATCTGCCATTAAATTGTGATGGGTTACCATTTATTGTGCAAAAAATATATGATTATATAGTGGACTATGGTATGTTTATAGAAATTAAATAGCTTGAATTAAATATACATTGTATTAATTCAATCATTTCATTTTTTTAGGCATATATGAAGAATGTTTATTTGATAAAGCATATTCTAACAATATACAAAAAGCAAATATTATAAATGCTTATGAATTAGTGAGTGGACCCGATATCAATTGTAGAACAATAATGGATGTTGATGCAGTAGATGTTGCAACAGTATTGGTCATGTGGCTTTATTTCTTACCTAAACCATTGATATCTCCTAAACTATATTCAATGATTTGTGGTACTTATTTTTTAAAATTATTTTAAGAATAATAAATAAAATAAAATAAATATTGTAACTTGTTATAATGAATAAAAATGTTTCTTTCATTAGATCTCAACATCAATAAAAAATATAGAGAGATTATTAATTCCATGGATAATATCAGCATACTAACTTTACAACGAATAATGGATATTGTTGATTCTTATGGAAGACAACACAAATCTTACAAGGAAAAACTAGTATATCTTTTCACATTACTTTTAACAAAACATGTTGTTAATCCTAGCCAAAATAATGCATTACAGTTTATGGACAATTTAAAAAATGTTTTAATGTAAGTTTTTTACTTAAATAGTAATAATAAAATTAAAATAATTTCATTTAAATTACACAATTTTTTTATTAACTCAAATTTATAAAAATGCATGATAATTTCACATCTCATTTCACTGCATTAGATATTTATTTTAAGGGGTATAAATATATACATGTATATTAAATGGTTTTACTTTATAATAAAATTTAATAATTTTAAAATTCTTTGATAAGTCCAATATTCTCTCTTCGAGATTCTACATTTTTAAATTGTTTTTTTTTTATCTGCTAGACCTTGAATATAAGCATTGATATTGTGAGTGTTTATACATTTGATAAGGATTATTTTTTTAACTAAGTATAAACATATTAATATTTTTAAATGTGTACAATTATAAGTGACATAAAAATCTATATGTAAGCAATTATAATCTGTATATACACTACTAAACATTAGAAGTGTAGAAGTGTACTGTTATTGTAGATTTTTATTTTTGCCCGCTAATACACTTCTTAGCTATTACATACTCATACTATGTAGACTTTTTAAGCTGCTCTATTATTTTATATTGCTATTAGTTCATTTAAGATCAAAATAATTTGTTAAATATTCTTTACTATATATATATATATATATAGGTACTATTATTATAATACTAATATATGAGGCTGTATAAATATAATTAAAAATTATTAAAATATTTTGGTAATTTTAATTATTCATAATGAAATACTTGCAAATTAGATATTTTTATTGTATATTATATTTATTAATTGTTATTGCAATTGCAATATTTATAATTTAATATAATATTCCTTGAAATGTGTAAGTGAATTAGTATTTTTTAAATTAATTAATTTTTATTTTTAGCTTTAATACTTAAAGCATTAAAAAGTATATAATGTATTATAAATCAAATTTTATAATCAATAATAATAAACTAATACCACTTAAATTAAAATTTCTCTTTTAAAAACTGCTTATTGAGCCCATTGAAAATATTTTGAATTATAATATAAAATAATATAAATTTTTTAAAAGAGTTTGTTTTATATATTTATTATTTATATTTTTTTTCTACAGAGAAGCAGAAATTGAAAATAGGATGTTTCATAATAAAGCATGTTTAGTAATAAAAGAAAATCTCAGTCGAGATGCAAATGTTTACAATAAAAATAATTTATGTAACAAAAAGACTCTATTTTGGTTAGTAATATTTATTATTTCAACATTTCAATTTATATATCAAAATTTTTTTAAGTTTAGTTTTTCTAATACATGGGGCAATGAGGTAAAAAGTAGCTAGGGATAGTTGGCTTATTTAAAAAGAATTAGTTGACATATATAGGGAGCTGAAAGGAGTTTTGTGTTGATGCTGGTAGCAGGTTGTTGAGTGATGATGGAATGCAGTTGAATAATGGTTCCACTGAGATAAATGACTCTATGATATGTAATGCATTGAAGAAGTCCAGTAGCTGTAACCTAGAAAGTTTAAGTACCAAAGAAAATGATCCATATAATTCAGTTGCCAATAGTTTATTATTAGATAAGGTAAAATTGTATAAAATATTTATTGAATAAATGAATTTTATGTTTGATAAATTATATTTTTTTCATTAGGATAATTCAAAAGTTGAATCATGCACACAATTATCTGATGGTCAAGATAGTTTAGTTTGCGAAGTTGATGAGGTAATTTGAAAGTTTCAACAAGCTATAGTGTAAACTATAACTGTAACATTCTTTTTTTTTTACAAATTTAATATTTTAATTATTTTCTCAAGTTGTCATATAGTCCTCAAATTGATGAAATGAGAAGTATAGAAAGGACAATGCAGACTCATTCTAGAAGTGTTATGAAACGGATTAAAAAAAAACCCATAAGGAGTCATGTGGAGAGAATTTTAAGATCTGGGTTTTTGTCAAATGAAGACAGTTTGTTATTGAAAAATACATTAGAGTTGATGAAAATTCTGTCAAAAATTAAAAAGTGTGTACTTAAATGTAATTTGTACAAATATTTTATAATTGTAAATTATTATTTGAGTAGTGTTCAAAATCAAATCAACGTCCAGAAAAGAGAGTGGGAAGATGAGTTTGGTTGTGCAAATAAAAATGACAAACATTTTTTAAACAACCGACTTGAGTTATTGATTAATCAGAAAAATCATTGTAAGTTTTAAAAATATTTTATTTTATACTATCTAATCCAATTATATTATAGATTTAACGAAAACTGGACTTTCATATGGAAGATCTTACAATCGTACAGTTCTTAATCTTAAAAATGCCCGAAAAGAAGCTTTCAAGGTATGTTGTATATATTTTTTTTATATATATATGTTTGCTTTACTTAAAAATAATAATTTAATTAAAAGTGTTTAGCCATACTAAATACATAGTTGCCAGTTAAATTCTGGCAATCAGCTGTTTTGCTTTTCAGATTAGGTGATCATCCTGAGAGAAGAAATTGTCAACGTATCCTTGCTCTATGTCAGCGGTTCTCAAACTGTGCTTCGTGAAATTCTAGGGCTCCGCAGGCACATCTGAGTTAATGAAATTCAAATATTATTGTAATCTTTAGTTATTGAGGAAAAACACTGGTACGATTACTTGATTGCGCAATAAATTGTACGTTTTTTTTTCACCTAACACCCATTTGGTTTAAAATCAGACTTATTGACAAAATTTGCTTATTTCGACTTCATTACTTGGCTGATATTTTCACAGGATTAAATTTAATACATTTATTAATACAAGATAAAATTATCACATTTTTCACAGCAAATTACAAAATCTGAGTTTATTTTTAACAAAAAATTAAATTTTGGACTGTATGTTTTTTTTTTTGTCATAAAATATATAGTTTTTCATTGTTAAAGGAATATTTAGAAACGACCAATGATTATACTGATGAATTTGATGAAATATTATTACGTCATTATTCTCATACCTATTATTGTTATCTCAAATAGACATTCCTGATTTTTGGGACTCTGATAATTTTTTTTAGAAATATAAAGACCCCGCGAACAAAAAAGTTTGAGAACCACTGCTGTATATATATAGTATACCCTAAAAACAAAAAATATTTTTACCATATATTCCCCTATTATGTATCAAACATCACTTACATCCATTTGGCCAAAATTGCTCTGGATTAAAAAAAAAAAAAAAAAAAATTAATTATTACTTAATCATTGTTATAACATAATTCAAATATCTAATTGTATTCCATAGAATCTAATTATTTTAATATTTTAGTTACATGAAGATGAAAAAATGAATAAGATAAGTCATAATGAAAACAGTGAAAAATTAATTTCGGACATTTACAATATTCAAGTAGTTCTTGATTATTTAGAAAATAATTGTGGAGGTAAAGAGCTGCCGTGGAGGTCAAGTAAAGGTTGTCCAGGTTATAGAAGGAAGATAAAAAAACAGGTTTGTTGTAAATATTTTTCATTATTAAGTTTAAATAAAATTTTGTTAATTATGTTTTTAGTTAAATTGTGTAACAGTTGTATCTGATCTACAAACAATAAGTGAACATGAAGTGATGGAAACCATACCACAACCATTATTTATACATACAGAGCATTCTGATTTGCTCTAATGGTTGATAAACTGTAATATGTATACGAGTTTAATTCACTTATTAGAATTTTATTCTTTTAATTTTATTTATAAATAATTTTGTTACTTTAAAACTATATATTTTCTATTAATTTTAACCTTGCTAGAAACTAATAGTATGATTTATCAAGACTTGTAATTGGTGCCTTTAAAATTTTATATTCTACAGTTTATACATAAATACATTATATATATAGTACTGTTTAATATTTATGTATTTTATAACTTATAATTACCATTGAGTTTTTTGTATGCTGTTACGTAATTTTATAAATACATATTGTGCTATTAATAAATACATAGAATACTATATTTTCTAGTACAAATATACACATAGTATATAATATATATATATATATTTTCAGATTCTATGAAATTGTTTATATTTTGAATGTTTATCTATTATAATGTATAGAACTATACTACTATGAAAATAACATAATATCTATTATATATTTAATTATTTTATTGTTTTTATTTATTGTAACGGATAGTCTGATTTTTAGAGCTTTAGCTCAATATATTTTTATAATATTATTTATTTTTAAGTTTTGAAGATTTTCCAATTGAAGTTTAAATCTTTTTGTTAATATTGTTTACAAGTTATATGTTTGAAACAAATGCTAAAGAAAAGTATTCAATTCATATAACACTTAATTCTTTATACTTAATTATTGACTAGTTTTTATTTTATATATCTGCTTCAGTGATACATTTCTAAAATACTAATGCTTCATAAAAGTTAGAGACTATCTCAATGAATTTGATATTCATATTTCAATACTGTAACTGGAATTTGGAATGTTTGTTTGATGCAAACCTTGTGTAGGAGTATTTTTCTGTATATTGTACATCGTGAAAGCAATTTATAAATAGTCATTGTAATTAAATTTATTTAATTACTATATAATGTTAGAAAATAACAATTTATTGAATATGGTTAAGTTTAATATTTATATATTTTATAACTATGGAACACATCATTATTATGTAATTAATATTTTGACAATTATATCTTCATTCTAAATATAGATATATTATTTAAATATATTCATCAAATGATTATTTATTACTAACTCAGTTGAATGTATTAATTGTATTTTGATTAAAACTGTAAAAAAAAAAAATTCAGAGGGTACCACCTTTATGTGAAATGTACTTGAGAAAATTAGCTGTTTTTTGGTAAAACTTTTTTTTTGTTCCCTAAGTTAACTAACATTGTTTCTAAATATTTATTAATACTCTAACTCAGTAATTCTAAAAGTGTTTTGCGCAAAACTTTAAGATTTCGTGGGACAATATCAAGGGTTCCGCGAGAAATATATGAATATTGAGAGTAGTAATTGTAATAAATAACAATCATGAACAATTTTTAAAACATTTTTTTGAATGTTGGTTTTTCAATAAATAATTAAAAAATTGAGGTTAAGTTGAAGTTAGAGATATTGGGATTCCACAAAATTTCCTTAAGGTTCTTGATTGGGAAAGTTTGAGAATCGCTGTTCTAACTGATTATTTTCAAAAAAATTTCAATATTTTCCAAAAAAAAAAAATTAAGAGTTTTTGAATATTACTCGACAAATCTGATAAAAATCCTCAAAATTGTTTTAGTTAATATATTTATTAAACTTTCAATAATAGTTGAATATTTTTTATAAGATTTTCTTTGTAGACAATAAATTTGTTCATTTTAAATGAAAGTTACAAAAAAGCGTTAGAAAATGAAATTTAGACGAAATTTAGCGTTTCATCAAATTATGATTATACGGTATAAATTAACTAGTTGTTATTCTAAAAATATTCATAACAATTAGAAACATTTATTGAGTATTTACATGTTATAGAAATTTCATAATTTTGGAACGCTCGGAATTGTTTTTTTGGGAGCAATGGTATTTGGTTAATTGATGTTAAGTTTAAAAGATCAGGGCAGCAATATAGTTTACTCGTCCTTGTATCACCCGACCTTGAAGTGTTACCTCTTTTTTATTTTGATGTGTCGAATTACTTTGTTAATGTATTTTATTTTACCACTAGATTTTGTTAGGGACTATAGACCTCTCAGGATTAAGGATGTATGTAGCATGTGATTTCGAGGGTATGGCGTATACACGGGGAAAGTTATCGTGAGAAGGTACGTGTGTGTTTATGTGTGGGTAACATGGTATGATGGCACGAGTGCATGTGTGTTTGTAATGGGTTATGTATGACAATGTGGGTGGTGCAGGTTTGCGTGTGGTCGTGCGGGGGGAGTTAGCATGAGTGTGGGTGTGTATTCGGGCACGAGGAGGATAATTATAGAAGTAAAAAATAATATTGTCTTTAAGTTTAAATCAGGTTTAAAAATTAATTAATAGCGATCGAATTGAATATTTGTTTATAATTTATAACCATTAATATATACATGCGCGCCGTACATCATGTTATATTTTGTAGAAACAATAATAAATTACTTCAATACTGTTATTACTTAATTACGTTCTAACCCTTTGGTTTTTCTTTCGAAACGATTTGATAGAAACATGATTTTACGTTACACGCTTTTGGTTATCGATGATGTTCATGAAGTATTGCTTCACGTACACTGTACTTCTACAGATGGTCACATAGCATTGATGTTTGTATTACTGAGTTGCCGAAAATATTTGTTAGATCGGAGGCATCATGCACGAACGAGCTCACGGAAATTATTGATGTAAGTATGATATAGACGAATAGTAATCGAAATCGAAGTATCGTGAACATGATAATGTTGTGTCGAAAACGAAACAAAATTATTATCGACGCACTGGTGCGCCGCAATTAAAGCCGACCCGAAGATGAAAATCAAGGGGGGAGGGGTGATTAATATGAAAAATGCTAACTACAATTTTTTTACTATATGTATGTAGGTAATATAATTAACTATATGTAGTCGTATTTTTACTTTTTATGTCAGTGTTGCACGTTCCTAAAATTGACTATTTAATTATACATATAATATATATATAATAATATTTTATATTGTATAATAAGTAGTTCTATAATTTTTATTGGTGTATACACTGTACTACGAAGTAGGCAATATTTGTTTTCCGTAAGTAAAATTAGGTTCTTCTAGGTTATAATGAAACAAGTCCGACATGGTGTTTTCGTTAGGGGGGGGGGGAGATATCCCCCTCCCAAAACCCGCCTTTGGGACGGCCCTGGCCGCAACTATTTCACAAATTCATATGACCACGAAGAATATGGAAAACGGGAAAATGGAATGAGTGTATTAAAACAAAACGAATCTGTCCAAACAAATATACATAATTATGTAATATTTATCATTTCCAAAATTTACTCGAACTGAAAACGTGCACGTCTCTTTTTTTTTGATCACGTATGGTGTAATTTATTACACTTGTAATGCCAAACATATTCACGCAACGCTTAAATACCGACCTATTCAAAAATATGTATTTGTACATATAAAGGTATATAACGTATAATTGATATATCGTACTTGCGATTTGATTTCTCACACTTGCGATAATTGCGTATGCCCACTAATATTTCCGTTTGTGGTTTTTAGAACGTTTATGTTGAGGTTAATTACCTGTCGTACAATACAAATAATTTGTACCTACCTTAATTTAATCGTATCGCAGCCACAAATTACATGTGATTGTAGATCTATGGTATTTGTTACATTTTTTTATTTGTTTATTTAACGTTTAAACACGCAATCTTATATAGTGAGTATACCTACACGAAAAGATAAAATATAGTGGAAAAATGTAAGGTTGATATTGGCAATAATGGCAATCGACTGATTTTTGGAATTAAATTGTTTGCGAGAGGCGATAATTGGAATATTTATAAAAAATGAAATGTACATTTTATAATTTTATATTTTGATTTCAATTATTTCAGTGGATATACGGAAATCCGCGAACGTTATATATTTTATGTAAACGTTTAAACATTTCAGTTTGGTCAGAATGTATTGGCTCATTTTTTACGCCGGACGACGAATGAATTTCGCACAGGAAAAATTCATAGATGTTCAGTCGCTGTATCGAACGGTAAGCGATCGTTCTCTTCCATCATGCGTGTCCATTCCGTTGGCCATTATGTTTTTATTACAAATTATTTCATTGAAACTCTATAATTAACGTTCCAAAACAGTTACAATTGCTCTAAGACAAAATAAATATATTTTTTTTTTTTATTTTAATTTGTTTTTGTTCGCACATTACAGCAAAGCGATTAAATAAAAATAAATGTTTAAACTACAATTTGTTGCAATAAAAAATATTGTATTTAAATTAATATTAAGCAAAACACATTTTAAATTTACTTAGAAATCAAGCATTAAAAAAAATAAAATAAAAAAAAATACGCAAGTGGAATAACTTGGGTGCACCACATTAATTATAATATTGATTTATTAGAAAATACATTTTTTGGTACTCTGGAATTTCGGGCGTTTTTATAAATAAAAAAATAAACGCAAAGAGGAGTTGAAATGTTTTTTCACTGGGCTCCTACTACAGTCAGGAGGGTAAGACTATTCGAACCCAAAGACGTAAAAACAAAACATGATTAAGTTCAGAAATAGTTTTTTTATTGTTCGATTACTATACGCACACCCTATTCAATGAAAAAATATGTCATACGTATAGTCGCGAAAAGTTCTAAAATATCAATTCAACAAAGAAGCATTTTCAAGATTGTATCACCGACGCATCGTAAATATGGTTTTATTGAGTTCGCGCGGGGTACGCGAATTTGATTATACGGATGGTGGAGAAAGTGCACACTGATATATTTTAGATTAGGTTCGGTTAGGCCAGCGACGCGGCGCGACGTTTAATTTATCTGTGACAGGTGTCATGGTAGACTTTGTGGATGGAAGGCTTTCACGAGAATTGTCAAAATTACGGTACTGTCGCGATATTTATTGTGTGTTTACCATTCAGTGTACGAATATAACACTCGATTTGATGGCGATAGTACAAAACACGTCGGTCACAGCTTTTGCACACTTACAATCGATCGTAGAATGATAAAAAAAAACATTAACAAAAGTTTGTTCGGCTAAAAATTAAAAACAAATATTTGACGCGTTTCCATTGTGCGGGCGCTTCGATTTGTATCGAAATGTTGAATCGGAGGAAAAAAAAATAACAATTGGTTGGCGTTGGCGCGGAGAGGCTCTTGATGTACGATGTCGTAGCGTGTTTTAAACACATCGGCAGCACCGCGTTGGGCTACAAACGGCGGCGGCATCATATTCTGAAAATCGCGGAAAACGCGGCTTTTATCGCGTCGAACGCGAACGCGTAACACGCGTCCGAACACCCGGGCCGACTGTCAACGCCACCCCCGCGGTGGCCGTCCTCGGTGTCGGCATCCGTAGACTCGGCCGCGTACACGGAACAGGACGGCGTCGCGCTCACCGTGGTCACCGCGTGGCGTCCGGTCACCTCCACCGCTTCGCCCGACACCAACCGCACCGGTTCACCGCCGTCGTCGCGCAGCTCGCGCACGGCCACGGCGCCTTCGAGCACCGCCAACGTGGTCGCGGTCGCGTTCGGCATGTAGTCGTCGTTCGTCACCGTCATACCTGTTCGAACCAACGTTAAAACATTTTCGTAACGGCGCGTAATATTTATTTTTGTTATCCCACGCTGTTGGGCTAGTGTTTTTAATCGATCTGTTTTTTCACAAACAACTTTCCCGCGGCGATTTCGGTCGTCAGATACTTGTAAACGAACATCTGAATCCGTTTTTTCGGAAGAAAAAAAAGTTTTCGGAAAAACGAATTTTGAAGCTGTTGCCTAGCCCATCCACGTGTCCCTCGAGACATATGAGTGCAGTTCAGACTTATGTACAATCCAGATTTTTGCAATACGAAACACCCCCCCCCCCC